ATAAACTCTTTATAAGTTAATAACGTATCTTAAGAACCTTACTTACTTTATATTAAACTTATACTTTAAGAGGTTAGTATAAAGGTTATATTATTAGAGACGTTTAAGAACGTAATAAACATACTATATATACTTTTTTTTATTTATAAAGTAGATAAAGATATTATTAAGATATACAATATAAATATAGTTAATAAGATTCCTTAGTACTTTGTTAATAAAGGACTAGAACGTCGCTAGTACGTTTACTAGCCTAAAGAGTATAACATAGTATTTAAAGTAGCTATATTAGTACTAGAAAGCTGTTTTCTACTTATTACTAGCCTTAATACAAACTTAATAGTACGCTTTACGTAAGTTAAGCTTAGTATAGATATAGGCTTATAATAACTAATTAAGGATCTCTCTAATTAATAGAATAAGAGCTTAGTTTTTTCTAGTTATACTATTTAACGTATAGTAGTTAATATAAAGTTATAGCTTTTTTCTTTTCTTTAAAACAAATAGTATTAAAGTACTAGTAAGGCTCTTACTTAGATAGATCTATTCTTTTACTAAGGCGTTATCTAAATATTTATATAAGATACTTAGCTTAACTTCTATAAGTAAGTAGATTTAGCTATATAGTAGTACTACGTCTTCTTTAAGGTCTATTATATAAGTAAGGCTATTAATTATAAGTAGTAATCTAGCCTCTTCTTTAGAAAAGACATCTATAAATTATTAGTACTTACTAAGTAAGGTTACTATAGCCTTTTATATAGTAAGTAGTAAGGTTCTAGATACCTTTAAGGTAGTTAAGGTAGTAGTGTTAAGAAGAGAAACTCTTATTTAGATAAGGTAATAAAAAGGCTCTTATAAAGCCTTTTTAATACTATACTATACTAGTAAAGGCTCTTCTTATAATCTAAAGACCTTATCTATACTAGTAAATACGTAAGAAGTATCTAGTAACTAAACTTTAAATATATAAAAAGACTCTCTTAGTGTTATAAAAACCCTTTTAGTAAGTAAGGTATAAAGTAACTACTACTAATACTAGTAGCCTAGTTATTAAGTAAATTTGTACTTACTATATAAATACTTTATATATAGTTAATCTAAGTATACTTACGCTTAGTACTCTAATAAGGCTAGTACTTTAGACGCTAATACTATACTAGTAGCTTACTATATTACGCTTAAATAATAAGAAGAAAGGTAACCTTTAATAAGTATTTAGGTAAAGATATATATTAAGAGTAGCTAAGTAGCTATACTAGCCTTACTAGACTTAAGAGTAAAAGTTAACCTTATCTACTTATAACTATTAGAACAAGAGGTACTATAGTAACTTAATAATTATATTATAGTATCTTTACTATTTTAGAAAATAATAACAAGCTTTAAGTTATATAATCTATTTATTAAGGCCTAAGATAACTACTTAATAGTAAAGTAATATTAAGGTAGATTTATTATTACTTATATTAGAGACTTAGATATTATACTTAGATTTCTATAGCTAGAGGCTATAGACTTAATTATTTTATAAAAGACCTAGACGTTTATATACCTTACGTTATCTTTAATAGTCTAGCTATATATAATAAAGAAAGAAATTAAGAAGGTAATAAAAGAAGCTTAATTTATAATTATAGTAATAGTATAACTAATTATAGTTAACCTAGAATCTTTAAGTAAGAAGAAACTATAAGAAGAACTATAAGAAGATAGTGCCCTTAACTTAGGCTTTAAATAATTAATAAAAAGACAGATATAAAACATCTCTAAAAGAGTATAGCTAAGTTTAACGACTAAAGAGTTATACTATTAAAGAAAATTCTTAAAGGTCTTATTTTAGTTTTAAGTTAATATTTAGAGTTTTAATACTACTTTAAGAAAGTAAGTACTCTTATTTATAATATTATAAAAGAGCTATACCTTTATTTCTCTCTAAGTTATATTAAGAACTAATCTACTTTTTTCTAAGAAAATAAAAGATTTCTAGTACTCTTTAATATAATCCTTTAGTACTACTACTATAGCGCTAATACGTTTAGTATTTATTAGATAACTCTTTAGATAAGTATTAAACTCTGTTTTCTAGTTAAATAAAAAGGTTATAATACTAGTATATATCTTGTTCTTTAGTAGAATAAAAGAAGTATTATAATAGCTCTTTCTTATTTCTTTAACATAAGTTTACTAAAAAGGCTGTTCTACTTTAAAAAAGTTATTAAATTTATATAGGTTTATTAAGAAAGCCTCTTTTCTCTTAAGTACTATAAGGTAGTCTTACTTTTACTTAAGGTACTACTCTACCTTTACTTAAGTAATCTTCTTATTTAACTTAGTCTTACTTAAGAAAAGGATTTTAGTTAACATTTAGGGCGTTATACTAGGTTTACTACTATCTACTTATAAAGAGGTATTCTAAAGAGTTACTTAAGAAGAGGCTTACATCTTGTTAAGGTTTATTTATTATATCTATATTATTATTTCCTACTCTAATAGTCTATAACCTTTTAGTAAAAGAAAGAGATTAGAATATTAGGCGTATTTTTATAAAGTAAAAGAGGTAAGAGTTAATAGATAGTTATAGTATATTTAAAGGTATATTACTACTTTAACTATAGACTAATCTCTAAACTTTCTTTCTTTTTTCTCTTTACCTTTTATTCTTATACTTCTTAATGCCTACTATTACTTTAGTTATAGTACGTAGTTATCTTATACTTAATTTCTAAGCTATTATAGTCTTATGTATTAGTGTACCTAACATTACTCTCTACCTTAGCCTTTAGGACAATATTACTATAGCCCTCTAGTTAGATTAATCTAGCGTCTGTTAGAATAGGTTATAACTACTTAGTTACCTTAAAGCTATAAAAGATCGACTTATCGTTATATATATAATAAGTTACCCTTATATCTAGGTACTAGTTCTCCTTTTAGAACTTTTCTTAAGTAGCTAATCTAAGTACTACCTTTAAAGCCCTAAGGCCTAGCGTACTATTAATCTAAGGCTACTAATTACCTACTATATAAAGTAATATAACGCTCTTTAAAGACTCTTTTTAGTCCTTCTTAAGACGCCTTTCTAAGAACGTAGTCTAGTAATTGTCTTTATCCTTTATAACGTAGAGCTTACTATAGTAGTAGTACTACTTTCTCTTAAGCTTCTTCTTATCTTTATTCTTACCCTTACTCTTCTCCTTATCCTTATTATCTAGCTTACTACTATATAGTAATACTAATAAAGGTACTAATCCGCTATCCTTTACCTAGACTTTGTCTCTAATCTTTATAACTAATGTATTAAGTAATAAGGTACTTTTCTTACTACTCTTCTATAAGTTTTAAAGAGATTAGTGTCTTTTAGCCTATTAAGGAAAGGCTTTTGTAAGTTAATTAATAAAGATAATAGCGTACAAGTAGTCGCTCTTAGGCGCTATATCTAGTTATATAGCTTATTTAAGTTAAGTTATAAAGGCGTTAATAAACTTCTTTATATCGTTATAATCCTTATATCTAAGTAGCTAGAACTTATCTACCGCTTAACACTACTAAGTAAACCCTTTGCCCTTATAGTAATTAGCTAGCTTAGTCTATATAACCTCTACTAAGTCTACTTTAGCTATAAGATTAAGTACTAGAACTAACGATATGTTCTCTTTAATAACCTAACGTGTTATAGCGTTACTAGCTCTTTATTTGTTATACTAATCTAGCTCTTCTTTTGTTATAGTAGTATTACTATACTTATAAGACTTAGGGATAAGATACTTCTTAGATATAAACCTGTTAAGCCTATTAGCTTTAAGTATATTATATATATCTGTCTTTTAAGTACAGAAGTTACTCTTACCTTATAGCCTCTTACTACTTATAAGTACAGTTAAGTTAGACATTATAGATTAGTCTAGGGTTCTATAATATAGTTGTTATCCCTTAGGCTCTATAATCCTGTCTAGAGCTCTATTTAATTAATAGACATACTATAATTAAAAACAGGCTTTACTATAACAAATCTTATAATAGATTAATTTAAGTTTAGTAAAGGAGATCAAATAGTATTACTACTATATTACGCGTAATATTTGATCTATTAAAGAGTTACAGAACTAATAAATTAAATTAACTAGTGTTAAGTAAACATATAAAGTGCCTTTATAGCTATAGTAAACAACTAGGAATTTTAGCGGGTTACTAACCCTGATTAGGTTAGACTAGAGTCCTAGTCCCGTGATTAATAACCTTACGTAATAGGCCAGTAGTTTCTTACAACATCTACTAACTAGAATAGTATTAGACGTATTTATTAAAGTTACTAACATATATAAGGATAGACAAGTTAAAAAATACTACTTTAATAACCTAAAGGTTTATATACTAAGAACTAATTAAGTAGATTTAACTAGATTTCTAGTTAATATAGTCTAGATATATAACGTTTAGATAGCTTTACTAAATATAGAACTAAATATAATAAAGTTTGCTAGTCGTCTAGGACCCTAATATTTAGACCTTACTAATCTATACTACTTCTAATACTAGAATAGCGACTATAATAGTAGCTAAGTAACAGGTTATAATAAAGGAATAAGCTATAGTTTTACTATTATATATAGTATATATGTTACTACACTAGTTACTCTTCTTTATTGATCGTAGGTACTTACTATAAGTTTAGGGGTATATTATAGGGATAGAAAATAGTTACCTAACGTAGCTTATATAATAAGGGTTCGCGTAGCTAGCTATTTCCTACCTACGGTAGCTTAGTTAGATCTAGAGAATTTAACCTACTAATAACGAACTCCTACCCCCCTCATCAGTACATCGCCGCTTTACGTAAGAATGGTTTAAGGATCGAAATGCCGCGCATGTCTGCCGTGTGGTGACGGGCCAAGGCTCTTAATCGTTTATTTCTAAGGTACATTTGAGCCCCTCATCAAATTCCACATCTCCTTATATTCAGCTATCTGCTTCTACTTATTCTACCGACCATCCGCTCATCGTCCTTCAACACCATACACCGCCGACATGCCTATACACAACTGGTTCAGAATGTAAGCTTCCCCTTCTTTACATAGCTGCTGTTGCCCCTCCCTCTAAACTCAGCCAGCGTCCTTACCGTCCTCTCCCTCATTTCCTTCCTTCCCCAGATCTCCCGCATCGTGAGCAAGAAATCCAGCGTCGATATCTCCCTCACCTATATCCTCCTTAACACAATATCCACCACCGAGCAATTCACCCTGGGATTCTACTATATCGCCAGTCACAATCATGACAGCGACTTCTTCGTCAGCGACCCACGCAACCTAGGCGACTGGCTCAACCTAGCCCAGCTCGCGGTGGTGTGGTTAATGTCTCTCGTACTGTAAGATCTACCTACCTATCCATCTATATACACCTTCCTTGGTATGTACCTATGTTGGCTCTAACACACCCACAGGTTTGCAGCATGCCTATTCTACGCTCCTAGCAGCGCCCCAAAAGCGCGCGTGGTAGCGATGTATGTGGCATTCCTGCTCATATCCGTGGTGCCGTTGTTCACCGACGCCGTGAACTTCGGAGAAGACGAGGATGAGAGATGGTTTAGCGCCATCTTCTTCGGCGTGCATTCGATGTTTGTGAATTGGCCCGTCACTCTCGGGGGTATCGCGGCGTTGTATTTCCAGTGGCAGAAAGCCGCGGCATTGAGCTCAGCTGGTCTAGCTGCGCAGGCAGTGGTCTTTGCTGCTGTGGCGCTGTCGTGGACCGCAAGGGTTCGATTTGTAGAGATGGAGCCAGGCGCAGGAAGCTTTCCGTTCAAGACTTGGTATTATCTGGTAGGGTGGGCGGCGGTTGACAACGGGGTTTTTGCACTTGTGCAGGCCGTGTTGTTTTATCTGGCCAGGCAGCATCAGAGTGGAATACGAGGTGAGGAGGAACCTCTCTTGGGCCACTGAATAGAATAGCAAGTTTCATTTGGACAATTGCATTTCTTATACTATTGTAAATTCGATAGAATTTGAAGCTGGTACTTTGAGCTTTGGCCTTCCACCATTATCCTTAGGGTCGACTACTCGTCCTTTAATGAAACAGGGAAGCTTGACGATGGTCTCTGCATGATCTGAGCTGTCTCCCCAGTCCCACCAGTCCAATTCGACGCCCTTGAATACGTAGCGGAATACATCGCCAACGTTCATATCATCAGGCAGGGCTCCTAATCCCTGGCCTTGCAGCCGATCCGATGAAGTCCACGTCTGTCCAGGCTGAAGGCTTGCAAAATCCTCATGCTGGCTCACATGAATACTAACATCAGGATCGTCGACGATCATAAAGCCGGTGGTATCGTCCTCGATGGACTCCCATGCGTTTGCGCGGCGACGGTATAGCCTGTAACCCTCGCGAGGACCGTACCATGACTGGAAAGGCAAGCTATGAAAAGTTATAGCCGGGCTCCCAGCTGGAGCTTCATATACCACGCTGATTTTCACATCTGCTACGCCAGCTTGAGGAACGTTCTTGTTGCATTCGAGCATGACGCTCATTATTGGCGCCCCTGGGCTGTGGTGGAGTCAGCTGATCTTTTCCATCACTCAATGGAAAGTAATACTTGCATTCTCTCTGATGCTGAGATCGGGGGAGGACTGCCTCGCCCCTCCGTTGCCTGGCCGAACTTGTTAAATTCAAGAGTGGCTCGCGCAGCTGGGAGGCATATCTTTGGCGACTTCACACCTAGCTCCCGGCCTGCGTGTTGCTTCTCGGTGCCCCAGTCCCAGATGGCAATCTCACCACCGGGCCACACCAACTCGTACTTCTCACCACTCACCAACTCTGTCCGATATCTTTTCGGCAGCGTTATCATGGAACGGACCCTCCCTCCCGGCGCCAGTTCCCGCACCGATATACCCCACCCATCCACCACAAGAGGCGCCTGCACGGCCGCTGAAGGGGGTTCGCTGGCTATCTCGATCTTGCGCAAGCCATCTGGCGTGTGGTGGAAGAGCAGGAAGGCCGCGGTGGCGTCGTGTCGGCCCCATCTGAAAATGCACGGCTCTTCGTGCGAGTCGCCAGCACGGTGGATTGTCGCCAGCACATGGCAGCCAGAGTCTTCTGTTAGCTTACTGCCGAGTGCCAGCTCGAGCTTCAGATGGGGAGTTTCGGGTCTCATCAGAAGGTAAGTTTAGCGATTCATCTTCCTTCTTCGTCGGTAGCCACTTACCGCACGTGGTGTTCTGTAAATAGAATGAAGGGTGCGAGTTCTTGGTCCATGCCTATTTAATTATAGAGGTTGTTATGAGATCGTTGAGAATCAGCACGAAGAATGTGAAGGTTACGGAGGATACGGAGGAAAGGTGATGCTTGAGGCTTAAGAACACAACGACGGGGTGTCTAATAACCCCATAGAGCGGCGGCAGCAACGCGTTTTAGCGCCAAAAAGATAAGCGGGTTGCATCCAAAGCAGCTTACTACAAAAGTCATTTTCAACTTGATATCAGAGTAGGTGGGCTTCGAGATTCTAGATTTGTCTGTAAAAACATTTCATTTTCTTATTTTGCGACCAAGTGGTATTGCTTTGCAGAAGGTGACTTTCATAGCCAAGGCTCAAACAGCGCTAAAAGTGCGTGCGCCGCCGCTTCATGGGATGACACTGGAAGTCTGGAAGCATTTGGCCACCTTCTTCAGAACATCAAAAAGACCATATACAAGTTAGCCTCCGAATGGTTATCTAGCGTTGCATATTTTGATTGATGTGTTGAGGTTGTTCGGCCGAAGGCACTCCTTGGCTGCTTGGCAGCATGACACGGGACGAATGTAAGAGTAGCGCCGCTCCACTATTGGGAAACAGTTTTTCCTTTGCAAGCCACCAACTGGAGAGGATTCAACATCTGCAATTAGCAAGTCGATTAGAGCAATGGTTACAGAGTTATGAGGGGAGTCACAAGGTGCGTGAAATGCTGGATTTGGTGTTCTGGGTTAACAGGTTAATATCAGTTAACTAGTACTGTATCAGGGCATGGCCTTGCAATTATGGGATCGAATGTTACACCAAGAGTCCAAGACAAACCAACATTGCGCAGCGCGGTAGGCGATAGGAAAAGCTTGAGGCGCAGTTGGCAATTATCATTCCGGGAGACTTTACTATCCGAGCTTAAGCGCCAAGAGTGAGATATGGATTGTCCAATGCATGCTCTTCTTAAACTTCCTTTTGTGACCTAAGGTTAAATGACTTATATATTAAGAATGAAACTGAATAACTTAATGTCAACCTTCTACTATCGGAGCAGGATATCAATCCAATATTACAGTTAATACTGTCAATGTGGTAATGAGTCCCGTTAATAGCATAACTACAGAAAATAAAATAAAGTGTCTAAGTTAAACGCTTAACTTAAAATCCCCTCTCCTCCTAGTTTTTGATTTTATAACTATTTCATATTCGCCATATTATAATGGTTGTCACAGAGCATAAGGTACCTTAGTTTAACGGCAAGACTTGATTAAGCGAGGGCACTCCAACTGCCAAGTACTTTCGTATATGACGGAACATCAGTGCTGCTATATACATCCACATTTCGGGGTTCTCTACTATTTGAGCTCAATCGCCAAGAGTAATATATCTATTCTTGAACGCCTGGCCTCATGAGACGGGTCAACGATGGCACTAATCAATTCTTTCCAACATCCCAATCTGTGGAGACCCTGGCCAGCCGCATCTCCCTCAAGGATTGAGGGAGGTTGAAGTCTTTTTCTCCTTATAAGAAGCTCATGATGGCGCCCAAATATGGAATCAAAACGTTATTCAAAAGGCGTTTATCAGTCTTACCATGGACCGCACTCTGCTGCACGTCTGCTTGGCTGCAATTGCATGCGTGGTTCCTTTGTCAGCCGCCTCATCTTCTCGTCCTTCTATCTTTGCCAATGGGAATGATTCTTTGCTTGACTTTGGCTCAATGCCTCCGCGTTCTGCTATGAGAGAGCTGCAGTCACGAGCGGACAAGCCTTTTTATCTCCGAATTGCACCTCTTGGGGCGTCGATCACTAATGGTTACCTATCGACGGACGGCAATGGGTACCGCAAACATCTCAGAGATGAGCTTCGACTTGATGGATGGCCGGTGAATATGGTTGGAAGTATCAATACGGGCACTATGAACGACAATAACAATGAGGGTCATCTAGGCTGGGTTATTAGTCAAGTGACCGATGCAGCCCTGCCAAATATTGTGCCAGACCAGCCAAATCTTGTTCTTATCAATGTTGGCACGAACAATGCTGCCCAGAACGTTGGTATCTCAACCATAGCCGACGAGTATATACAGGTATGTTTCTCCTTTGAGAGACGCTGGTTCAGTTGTAGCCAGTCTAGTACTACCAGACCATGTTGGTTGATTTACAAGGAGGTGTAACGAGACCAACTTCAAGCATAATTCTGACCTACGTATATTATAGCTCCTAGATAAACTCTGGCTCGGAATACCTGATGCCACCGTTATTCTATCCACCTTACTTGTCAACAAGAATGCCGACACGAATGCGAGAGCCAATATAATCAACGACGCGATCCGAACAACAGTGATGAGCCATTATTCTAGCAAGAAAATCGTCTTAGCCGATATGAACGACGGTTTCATCACTCTAGCAGACATGAATGACGACACGCATCCTAATGACTTCGGCTACAAAAAGATGGCTTCTGTGTGGTGGGCAGCCTTCCAAACAGTCGAGCTCAACGGCTGGTTGACCGCTCCTCCAAATGTGGGCATCGCCGACAATTCAACGACGTCAAGTGAGTATACGTGTCCCAAAGTCTACGGTGACGGTGATGGGAACTATCAGATCCAAAGAGGAAGCGGCACGGATGACGGCAATTATGTTCATGCGTCCGAGGACCAAGGCAACGTCTGGTCTTCTCCCTTCGGCGTTAGCCAGGCAGAAACAGACTTTGGCAAGAGTTTCTTCTTTGCACAGCTTGTCAATGCTGGCGGCAACCCAAATAGAGGAGGTGAGGTCGATGAGATTATCTGGGCCCATTTCACGGGTGGAGAATGGGCGTGGTATTTTTTCATCAATAATAACAACAACAATTTTGGGGATATGGCTGCTTTCGACCCAGGTTATAACTGCACTCCGGAGGCATCGCGGTTTGCTGATCTTAACAGCAACGGTTTAGACGACTATCTGTGTATTGACACATCAGGCAACCTCTTGGCATCTCTCAATACAGGAGGCAATCCTCCTGTGTTCAAGCCTATTGGTATTGTATGAATTCAGACTCCCAAACCTTCCCCTCCGCTGCTGATGGGTCTCTAGATCGGAAATGCGCCGAGCTTCTGGGCTGATGGCTACACCGTTGATCTAGTCCACATGGCTGACATTGACGGTGATGGACGCGCCGATTGGTGTATTCTCTTGAAAACTGGTGACATTGCCTGCCAGAGAAATGGCGGGCAAGGAGCTGCACCTGTTGCCGCTTATGGAGGCTTCTGGCAGGCTTTTGACACTGCCGGGGGAGCGTGGACGACTGTCTTCCCAAGCCAGCACAGAGGCAACGCAGCAGGAGTCAACCTAGTTGATATCAACGGAGATTTCAAATCGGATTGGCTTTTCATGGACACAACGGGCAAAGTTGACACCTTTGTCAATAATCGCGGTACTGGAAATGGTATGATACCTGACTGGCAATATGCAAATGTAACACACGGCGGGCTGGCATCGTTAGGTGTCACGGATGCGAACGGCGTTGTGAAGTTCGGTCGTATGTACGGGACTGGAAGGCGAGACGTGAGTATCAGAGCCATTGAATTAGATTAGATGCTAATAGTAGACTATAGTATATCTGGCTCCAGACAGTTCCTTCTAGTATTACTGCTGACCGTATTGTTTTACGTATCTGGAAGAACATCGGCGCAGGTGGGACGTATCTAAAGGGAGACGGCTCTTATTACTGCGACATGGATGGTGACGGGAAAGATGATTATATCTGGGTTGGACCGAACGGCGAGGTCGATATCTACCTTAACGTAGATAATCATCCTTTGTGGGATAACCACTTAGGTGTTGTCACATTGGGTGTAACGAGGAAGACCATCCACATCGCTGATCTCGATGGTGATGGCAAGTGTGATGTAAGCTCTCCAATCTGCTTTGACAGTTATCGAATCTTTGCTTATCCCGAATAGTTCTTGTCTGTTGACAAAGCATCGGGCGCGGTACGCATGTGGCTCAACAACTTTAATAGCGTAACCAAGACCTGGAATTTTGTCGATTATGGCATTGTATCTGGCAGTACTGGTTGTACCTAAGGATATGGTGTAATTGAAAATGATCTAGGGGTCCGCTTTGCTGATCTTACGGGCGATGGCAGAGCCGACTACCTTTGTATCGAGAACAACGGGCGCGTCACGGGTTATCTCAATCGGGGAATGTCTTCTTCTGGGATAATCACTTTCGAGGACGTAGGTCAGATCAAACTTGCAACGAACTATGACCGTCAGAATATTCGATTTAACGACGTCAATGGTAAGCATATCCTGTGTTGGCATAGAGCTTGATTCTGATAGGGCACACTAGGTGATGGAAAAGCAGACCTTCTCTGGATTAGCAAGTACACAGGAGACACAACAGTCTGGTATAACGGTGGAGAAATTCCTACCTCCGGAAGCCACTTTTAATGGAACAACCAGGGAGCTCTTTACAAAGGCTGGGACCGTGGGTCAAACATGAACTTCGGTGCTCTGGGTGGCCAACACCGTGCGGACATCATTCAGGTAATCCCCCGGACCAACCTCGCGTACATATCCTACAACAAATGTCCCTCTGGCTCTGGTGGAGACGATGCAAACATGGGCGATCCAGAACTCCCAGCCTATACCCCTATCACGACAGGCTGCGGCTTTGAGGTCTGTCCACTGGCAGCCATTTCGTTCCCGGACACTAGCTGTACTACAGAGAGGCAAGCTGCCATTATATTAGAACTGCAGAGTACCTTAGAAATGGCTGTGGACACGGAAGCTAATTTGCAAAGAGGGGTATACTTTACCAAGTTCTTTGACGAGGGGTCCCGTCAGAACGAAGATTTCGCAGCCAACACCGCTAGAGTGTACGGAAATGTTGCAACTATGCTCCAAGGCGGTCCCGCGTACAGAGTTACAGCCACTTGTGATAGTTCAACGAAGTACTGTACAAAGATCGGGTGGTACGCCCATATGAATGACAATGCGAAAGGCAAGGTTGGCAGGGTCAATTTTTGCGAGAAATTCTGGACTGACTCAGAGATCGTCTCTACGGACAGTATACTAAGTACGTGTAAAACCACAGTCCCAGACTTGAGAGTTGTTCAGAGAACGCGCTCTGCCATTTTGTTACACGAGATGACGCATACTTCATTTGCCATGTCCTTCGGAGAAAAGTAAGTTCTCTGCTAGAGGCTTACGCCGGATGAATACTAACAAGAGGAAGGACGCGCGATTACGCCTATGGGTATACCTTTTGTTCACTACTTGCTGAAGGCGAGTTTGACAGGAGTTGTATGACAAGCCAGATGAAAGGCAGGCCTAAGGTCATGTGTCCTGACCTTTCGGGCAACGAGGGCAATTGTATGGCGAGTATGTCAGTAAAGAATGCAGACACATACGCCTTCGTGGCTGCTGGGGTCTGGTATTCTGGAAAGTGTAATGCACCTATTCCACTCCCAGTTTCTGCTACTAAGCGGACCACTGGTAGCCGTGAATGATGCTAATATCGAGTACGTCGAGAAGGTCTGCTCTGGCGACACTCTTACTGGTCTGACGGGGCAGATCAACAGCTGGAGTAACCCAGAGCGTGCATCTATCGCCACACTGTCAATTGGCGGTAACGATGTCGGCTTTAGTTCCCTGCTTCGGTACTGTGTTATCACGCCTAATACTGGGCCTTCAGGATCCGCAAATCGTGCAAATTGCGTGGCGTCTGAAAAGAAGGCGACAGACTACATGTTGGATCCTGGAACAACAGGCCTGCGTTACAAGCTTAAAGAGGCCTACCTCAGCATCCTGCGCAAATCCGGCCACGACGTAAGAAGCCCATCCCTTCATTACACAAGCCCGTAACAACTAACAAGTACAACAGTACTTCCACCTCTACATTACTAGCTACGTCAACTTCTTTAATGCTGCTACAAGCGACTGTGCAGACACTACCTTCCACTACTGGTGGGCGGGTTACAAGCCCTCCTCTGACTGGCCCATGAACCGTATTGTCTACCTCTCCACCGACCTGCGAAGTGAGCTCAATACGCTCGTTACCCAGCTTAATACTGTCATTGCCGGCGCCATTGTCGACGCCAATAACGAGTACGGCGGCTCCTCACAAGTGCACTTCGTTGACCTCGCGCCCGCCTTTGCTGCCGGGCACCGTTGGTGTGAGAATCCCAACGGGGAGTTCCACGAGCCAGATGTCTCACGCGCTGATACTTGGCTGTTTCTCAGTGCCTGGAAGGATACCAGCATCGAATCTGCCGCCGATGTCACCGATGCCGTCGAGGCAGCCGAAGTTGCCACGCTCATCTCGTCTGGCAACATCTCCTTGCCGGATGCCGGATCTTGCTATGCGGCATTGGGCACGGATCCGGACCCATACGCCTACGCCATGTGTCAGGTGTCTATCTCGATCTCTGAGGACCCAGCTGGGCCAGAGGCAATGCGATACCAGGCTGCGCAGGCGGCCATCGCGAGTGGGGATTATAACAGTCAGGACATTGCGGGCTATTTGCCGACTCGGCAAATAAAGACGTTCCATCCCAGGAGTCCGGGGATGGTGGCATACAGGGATGCGCTCCTTGGGGTGATCGAGGGGGTCGGGCAGCTGTAGTGGGTAAGGTAGTGGAGGGTTTGATAATGTGTTGATTAAGCTATCCAATACATCTCAGGCACATTGAATCTTGATAATAGAATTGGAAGAATGACAACAGTCTGATTTCATTGACAACGACGACTGCTAGAATCATAACGATAATTCCTTGAAGCGGAGATAGGTAATTCACTTTGAGAATCTATAGCCTAGATGTGATATAGAAGCTAGAGCTTCTATTCTAGCAGAGTTTAGAGTAACGAAGCAAGAACACTCGTTTACTAGAGTCATCATTTTGTGTGTCATTGTTGTTTCTTTTGAAAGGAAGAAAGAAAGTGTCAAACGGGAGAAACGGACTCGATGAAGAGTGAAGGTAGCCGTCTAGAGGCTCTATATATACCTTACATAAAGAGATGGCAAATCGCTACGACGGATCTTCGGTAATAGGACCCTATTACCGGGTGACAATTGCTCAAAAAATATAGGTCGCTATTAAGCCCGTTCTATATGCGACAGAAAGGAAGAAAAGAAGCAAGAAGAATAGATAAAGGGAGGAGATAGATAATAAATACTAACACTAATAACCGCAACTCAAAACAGCAGCTACAAAGATCAATGTATGATGTATCGAGTTATGAACTTATCGTAGCTTATAAATTCTTACTTCTTTTCACTTGCTTCTTGTCTACTACAAAAATTCCCTACTACAGAATCTTAATACAGTTATAGAAGGGGAAAATAGATAGCCGTCAAGTTCTTAGGCCCTCTATCTTCAAAGGAGAACTATTCTTCTGACTCCTGCTATGTACTACGATAACGGGATTTTATGCACACCTGGTTTGTTCTTATCTCTAGATGGCTCTGTAAGGTAATAAACTAATAATTAATTATACAGAGTAACCCGGTCGAGGTGGCCAGCCTCGGTGTGATTTCTGAACATCTCTGAGGCTGGATCTGCCCTTACCAACTAGGATTTGCTAGTTCACTCCCCTATAATATGCGACCATAAACGCTGATATTCCGTTTCCACAATCTTGGCTCGCCCCTTCCGGGCCGTCAGTGAGAATGGGAATGTTTTAGGCTGCACGTTGAAACCGGTGGTGTACTCATACGCTTCATAGTCCCATCCTTGTTTCCCCTCTATATCAGAAGCCCACGCAATCCGCGCCACCAGAATATTCAAACTGCGCTCGGCAATATTCAGCCCGGGACATATTCGTCTTCCAAATCCGAAGGCACTGAAGTTCTGCAGGTTTGGATAAGCTTCGAGAGGTTCCTTGTAGGTGGGGTATTTTGGGTCCAGCCAGCGGTTGGGGAGGAATGATTCTGCATCGGGGTAAAGAGATGCGTCTCGATGGATAGCCCATTGGTTTGCGTGGACGGCAGATCCTGCTTTGAGGAAGTATTTTTTCCCGTCAAGCTCATATACATCGTCTCTGGTTAACTGGTGAGGAACTCCGCCTGCCGTCACAGGCCTCCAGCGGAGCGTTTCTTTGACGACGGCTCTTACGCGCGGTAGGCCGGGGAGATCCTCGAAGCTCGGCATCCTGTCTCCAACTACTATATCAATTTCTCTCTGGAGACTTCGGAGCTCGGGAGGATGCGATGCCATTGTGAGGAGGAAGCTCATCATCGCCGCTGCAGTGGTGCCCGCTCCAGCTTCAAACAAGGTGCCAATGACATAAGCGCCTTGGTCGTCTGATAAGCCCCATTTCTCCTGGCTGCTCAGGAATTTACTCGTGAAATTCTCCTGTTCCACATGTTTACTTCCTAGTTTTTCACTCTCCGTTTCTCTCCGAACATCGTCCTGCAACTCCCTGAAAAACTCCAACTCCTCGACATGCAACCTCTTTCCTTCCCGTTTAAAGGGAGCTAGGAAGTCGGGAAGATACATCAGGCTGGGCAATGTGTCCACCAGATAAACACCAGGGCTCGCAATGCGCTCCAGGTTCTTCCCTACGCTCATGATTCTCTTTAGGTAGTCCTCTTCCCCAGTGATAAGCATTTTCCCAAACCCCAGCCGCAGCATCAACCCCGCTGTATACCGTTCCAGCCATTTCTCATATTCACCCGGCGAGCGGATCAGATCGTGGAGCATGCGCACGCTCTCTTGCTCCTGCATCGGCTGATACGATGTCGCCGCCGAGGGCATGGTGAGGCTATGCATGAACCTGCGGCCCGCACGCCAAAGATCGTTGTAGGGAAGCAGGAGAGGTCGGAGGCTGTCTGATAGGAGCTGTGCGGCCATGGGCACCTGCTCGCGGGAAGAGTAGACGTTGCCTCGTTCCCGGAGCAGGTCGTTGGCGATTTTCTCACTTGAGATGATGACTTGCGGCCGCCCGGCAATGGATAGCTCGTATATGGGCCCGAAGTGTTTCGACCAGTCGTAGAATTTCAGCCACGAGTGGCGGGGTGGGATGGAGAGGAGAGAACCGAGGAGGGGGAGGCCTGGTTTGTAGGTTAGCGATGAAGATCCTGGATCGCTTGGATACATCTGTGTGGTTCTGAAGTCTCGACTCTCTCTCATGTTGAGAAATTAAGAAGTAATTGCTGTTTGAAGGGAGAACGAAAAGATGACAAACCCGTGGGGCCGGGCAGAGCGGTGGTTCCTGGAGGGCCATTGCGGCGAGAGGAGGAAAGGAGAGTTATAACGAGGAGGCCTAGAATGGCTGCCGCAAGAAGAGCAATTGAGAACATAATGGAATGATGGTGAGATGGTGTTGAAATGAGATGGAGAAGATGTCGAAGTGGTGAAGCTATTCAGAACATCCAGAACCATATTCCTGGAGTGCAGAATGCGGAGTATTTCCGAACGCGGGGAGCAGAGTGCGGGGTGACGCCGTTTCCGTTTTAGTTCCCGGACCCGGGCTTTTAACACGAGCCGAGGTAGCATTAAAAAGCTATTTTAGTATTAGAAAGGCCTATTTTAGTGTTAAAAGGCTTGTTTTAGTTTTCCACGGCGCTCTTCTTGGCTCCGGCTACTTTCCTCATCTCCAGGCGCAGATCTATCCTTTTCTGGCCTGTTTGGCGCGCTGATTATCTAACAATCTTACATTTCGCTGCCCAAAACATGGCCCTACAATAAGACTTACTCTGTAAGTGGGACGACCTGAACTTTTATACTCTCCCGCCAACACGAAAGGATCCTCAAATACTAGGAACCCTCATAAATGGGGCTCTGTAACACTTGTCATAATCTGAAGGTCGACTCAACCACGAATGAACCAGCAGAAGAGTCAAGCAGACCGGAAGCAGAGCGAGTGCTCACGTATTCCCGACGTGTGCCTATCAGAGAATGGCACTGCTCTGCCGAAGCAGGTTGCAATACTTGCCGCTTGATATGGGACATCGTAACACATGTCGACGAAAAGCTGGTCTTAGAGTTGACACAGTCACATATTGAGGGTGAAGAGCAGGCATACATTTGGGTGGAGGGCATGCTTGGACAGACGTTGACTTTGATGCTGGATGATATGCCGCCTGGGAAGTACTTCCCAATTTTGGAACTTTTTCCTGAAAAGAGTATGGACATCCGTTTTGCGCCATCTAGTAACAGGATGCTCACTCAGTCGACAGGTATTCCGGAGTATCCCATCATTGGCCGCGCAGAGGAAGTAAGGGAGCAGCTTGGTATTCAGAGCTGCCTTGACCTTTCCCGTCGCTGGATTGAGAAATGCAGAGAGGAGCATCCAGAATGCGAAGCTGAGCATTCCGACGAGTTACCTACCCGCGTCCTTGACCTTGGAGACTGTCACGGTCCCGTGAACTTGCGACTGCATGAGCCAACTCCTGGCGAGGGCGCGAAATACGTTGCCCTGAGCTATTGCTGGGGCAAGACAGGAAACTTGACAACGACAAAAGCGACAATCTCAGATAGAAAACGTGGCATATCCTGGGACCTCTTACCAAACTCATTCCGAGATGCTGTCACAATTACAAGGGGTCTAGGCATGCGGTACTTGTGGATAGATGCGCTCTGTATCGTTCAAGACGACAAGTCAGATTGGGAGAGAGAAGCTCTAAAGATGGGACAAGTGTACGAGAACGCCTTTCTCACCATCGCCACGGATGCCGCTAAGGATCCTACAAGAGGTATATTGAGATCTAGGAGCACAGATCTGGTATCTGCATTCATCGAGGAAGACCGCCCCACGAGGAATTCCAAAGTTATGGCTTTTACTCTCCTCGACTCGCAAGCTGATGTACACAACATTCGCGTACGAGAGCCTCTAGACCACCACGACCTGGTCATGCCAAGAAGCGCCTACGAGATCACGTATCCTCTCATGGCACGTGGTTGGACGCTGCAGGAGCGTCTTCTTTCACGCCGCACTCTTCACTTCACAGAATCTGAATTCGTTTGGGAATGCAAAACGACTTTGTTCTGCGAGTGCGGATGCATCTCACGCGACTTCATAGGACTCGATGGAAACCACAGTCCCAAGGTCGGCTTCGAACGAGCCATGAAAGAAATATCCATTGAGAGCGCGTCTAGGCTGGACCAGGCCATGGCACAATATCCACGGACCAAAGCAATAACAATGGCATGGACGCTGCTCATCGGTGGCTATAGTACTCGTCAGCTGACCTACTCTTCTGACAAGCTTCCAGCCATATCTGGTATGGCGAGAAAATTTTCCCGCATGAATAACTCTCCCGAACAACGCACATACCTCGCTGGGCTTTGGTTAGAGGACCTACCATGGCTGCTATGCTGGCGCGCGTTCCAATTTAGATCCGACGAGCTCACAACCGTCTCCTCGGCACCCACATGGTCCTGGGCTTCTCTAGATACGCCGGTGATCTGGGATCACGATATGTTTGAGGCCAGAAGCCAAGTGGAGGTTGTAAGCACATATACCAGCCCTCACAGGCAAGATTTTCTAGGTCAAGTCAAGAGTGGGAAGATCGTATTGAAGGGACGGGTTCAAAAGGCAACGCTCAAATTTGACGTATCTCATAGCACTGTCTTAGGACTCCAAAATATACTAGGGGAAAGGATCTCTTTTGTGCCGGATTGTAATACAGTAAGCCCCTTATCTGATGGCGACAACAAAGGCCGATCGGACATGCTACAGCTAGGGGCATTCTCGCTCACTGATGGAGACGAGGTATCTTGTCTATGGGTTCTGCATAACATAGAAAACGATGGATTGTGGGGTTTGGTTTTGGCATCTTCGCCAGACAAGTCTATATCACGCTCGGCATCTGGGTGTACAGTATCTGATTCTACAGTATTTGAGCGGATTGGGATAATTACCCACATGTCATATAAATACCAGGAGGACGAAGTGTCTTCTATCCATTGGTTTAACGGATCTAAAGAGAAGATAATAACGATTATTGTCAGATAAAAGAGGTTATATATCACTGTAAAGAAGTAGTAATAACAGGCGAATTTAAGTTAGTTAGAAGTAGATTAAATTAAACTAAATTAAATAGAACAGAAGGTAGTCCCTTGTTCTATATACTTAAAAAAGGGGGTTACTATTTACATGTATAGGCGCTGTATCTACTATAAACAAGGTATATAAGTACCTAAGTACCTAAATCCTAATAACACTATAAACTATTAAACAGGGTGTAAGGGATCGATCCTTATATATTAATTAAGGGTTAGTTAGTAATTAAGGGAACAGGTTCTATATCCTAGTAGTAATTAACCTTACTATTTAACATACCTCCTTAGGGATCAAGCTAATTCTAGACTTAACTAGAGAGCTAAGTACTAGTATAGCTCTCTCTCTAGCTCTCTCTCTAATTAGGTAATAATAAAGCTATTCTTATACCTAAAGGTATATTAGTACTTACTAGTACGTCTCTCTCCTTAGGTAGAAGGTTAAAGAATTAAGGAAAGTACGTAATAGTAAGTACTTAATTAAGAGGGGCTTAACGTTTAAGTCTTAAAGCTCCTTAAGGAAGAACCTTAAGGACTCTTAGTATTCTAAGTACTCTAAGTAGTAAGACATGTTAAGTAATAAGGTTAAGTAAGTAGTAGAAATAAATAGAACTAAAGAATATAATTATAGAAATAGTTAAATCTCTAAGAAAAAAGAGTAGACTTCTTAAATAAGAAATATAGCGTAAAAAGTAGACTTTCTAAATAAGAAATTAAGCTTAAGATAAGAACTAGATCCTAGAACTCTTACTTAATTGTTTAAGTAAGAATTACCTTTAGACTAGCGTAAAAGCTAGTTCTAGGTATTTAGTAGTTAAATAAAAGGGTTTCTTACCTAAATAAAGGGTGTTTAACTGCCCTAATCTATAGGCTAGCTATTGTTTAGGTTTAGGGTCTTAATATCTACTAGATTAAGTAATTTAATAAATTTAATATGTTTCTAGTATAGTAAGGCCTTAGTTAACCTATCTACTAGTATGTTATAGGTTAATAGCTACTATAGACTAAGTCTCTCTTTAGTTACCTTTTAGCGTAGCTAGTATTAATAGATATCTATATACTTAAGCTTAGTAACTAGGCGTAGAGTTCTTAATTATATAAGACAGATAGTTTAGGCGTTATTTACGTTAATAGCAAACTCCTTATATAGTTTTAGAGTAATCTTAGTAAAGAAGTGTCGCTACTAGTAGAGATCCTTTATAGTATAAGAGAGAGCTAATAACTTAGCCTCTATACTTAATATAGTAACTATCTTTTGTTTAGTTGATTTCTAGTTAATAAGTCCTCTAAACAAGTAGAACACGTATCCTTTAGTACTCTTTTAGGTCTCTAGATTATTAGTATATACTATATTACTAGTATAAGTAAAAGCTTTAGAGCCTTTATTACTACCTCTAAATTAGATCTCTAAGTATTAGGTTTTATAAAGATATTAGATTACTTTGTCTACTACCCTTTAGTACTCTTAAGATAGGTTAGTAAGGAACTTAGACAGTTTGTTAGCTAATCTAATAGCGTCTAGCCTAGTAACAACTATAGTATAAAGAATAGATCCTACCTTACGTTAGTAGCTATAGATCTCTTAAGGAAAAGCCTGTCTTATATTTAGGACAAGTAGTGTACTTTCTAGTAGTATAAAAGGTACTTTCCTATCTTTTAAGTAAAAGGTTAAAGTAATTAACTTAATATAAGAGTCTTAACTAAGCTATAATCTTCTAGTAGATCTGTCTCTAGTTACCTTAATACCTAAGAACTACTTTAATTCTCTTATATTACATATCTTATAGCTATTAAATAAGCTCTATTTAAAGTTTTAAAGGTATTATTAATCTTTCTTTCTTACTAGAATAGTAATATTGTCTATATAAAAGAAGACAATAAGGTATTTATTTATATAAAGACACTTAGCCTCTAGAACTAGATATAGGCCAAACTTAGCTAGTGTTTTAGTAAAGTAAGTATACTATAAAAGAGGGAAATAGCGTAGCTTATAAAGAGCTTTAAGAAAGAGAAGAATATACTTTAGGTTATTAAAACCCTTAAGATATTTAATATAGACAGTCTTGTCTATATTACTATTAGTAAAGGTATTTATAGCGTTAAGCTAGTAGATCTTTAGATTAAAGTAGTATACTATTACTATTAAACCTCTAAACACTTATAACGCTAAAGTAGTAGTGTAATTGTCCTAGCTAGTTAGATATTAAAGATCCTCTCTAACTATAAGTCTTACTTTAAATTTGTCTAAGAAGCTATTAGTATTAAATTTATATATAAACACTTACTTAACTAAGATAGCCGATCCTTTAGATATACTCTTTAGAACAGTCTTAAAGGTCTTACGTCTTTTAAGATCCTTATACTTTTTGTTTACTACTACTATAAATTTATCCTTATATTAGTAGTTTTAAAGCTCTTTTTAGTTATTAAAGACGCCTAGTAGTTTTGTTCTATAGATCCTTCTTTTAGCGTACTCTATTCTTATTTAAAAGGTAGTATAAAAGCTACTATAAGCTCTAATTTGTTTTATTTAGATAGTATAAGCTTCTTTTCTTACTTTTTTATTCCTTGTTCTTATTAAAAGTATATTAGCTAGATTAAGACTAGTAGAGTTAGATCTACGCTACTAGACCCTTTATTAGGTTTTATCCTCTAGCTACCTTCTTAGTATATCCTTATTTATATCCCTTATTATAACCTTATTAATATCCCTAGTTACGGTTTTACTAGAGTTAATAAGTAAAGAAGGAGGAGTTGTTAGAATAAGTAAAGCTCTTAGTATTAAAAGAGGGTTAAGAGCCTGTAGTACTAATAGATTTGTTAAGTTAGTAAAGGTAGTTCTTTAGGCATATAAGTAGTAAGTTCTAGTCCTCTTCTCTACTTTCTTAGCTAAGGGGTTCCTTATTATTATAAGAGTTATAATAGGATTAGTTAGATCTATTGTTATTATAAGATCTGTTAGATCTACTAGCAGATTAAGCGGCGCGCTATTACTATTCTTAACAAGAGAATTAAAAGGATTGTCTTCTTCTTTAATTTACTAGTTATATTTACTAATTACTAGTATTTTAATAGCTTTAATTACTTCTTTAGTAGCGTCTTGTTTATCTTAAGGCTAGTACCTTTGTGTTTTGTTAAATATAACGTCTCTATAAGTTATTACTCTATCTCTTACTAGGATCTAGACCTTATAGATATTAGTAGAGTTATATCCTACTAGGTATCTAATAAAAGCTCTTAGTTCTAGCTTGTTAAGACGTACTATATTCTTAATTAGAGCGTAGGCTTTATAGCTAAAGGCGTAGAGGTAAGAGAGGTTTGGTTTAGAGTAGTAAAGACACTTATATAGTGTTTTCTAGCCTAAAGAGGTAATAAGAGATCTGTTTACTAAGTATCTAGCTGTTTTTATTAGTTTAGGCTATAGCTTTAACAGTAAGTTAGATCTTATTTTTAGTACTCTTACTCTACTAAAGAGTACTTCTTTAGATCTTTTAATTAGCCTATTTTAGGCTACTATACGTAGTACTAATTGTTTAATAATAAAGCCTTTTACCTCTACCTAATTATTAAAATCTTTCTTAAGAGACGTTTCTTTATTAAGCTTAATCTAGCGGACTTTAGCGTTAAAGTGTCTTTTAATTAAGGAAACAAAGTGTTATATAGTAGCTAGAGAGCCTTGTTTAGTTATAAGAATATATATAAAGCTTATTCTAGTAAGATCGTTAAGAAAGTAAAAGATATATACCTCTTTAGAGTCTATTAGGTATATTTAAATAAGATCTAGGTAGATCCTAATAAATAGTTTGTCTATACGCTTAATAAGAGCTCTAGATATAATCTGTTTAGTGTTTACTAGGTAGTAAACCTTATATAGTAGGATTAGGTACTAATCCTTAGGTACTAACTTAACTCTTTTAGTACTAGTAGCTAGGCGTTAGATTACCTTTATATATAAGTGCCTTATCTGTCTATACTAGAGTTCTACTAACGCTTTTAATAGTACTCTTAGTAAGTATAAGTTAGTTAGAAAGGCCGCTAAAACAGCTGTTAATTCGATAGTTAATATATCTGTTACTACTATCTATAACTTATATTTAATTAACCCTAGTTTAGAATTAGATATAAGGTAAGTAAAAGTACTATTAGAAGAGATATCTTAGATTACTAGAAAGGTAGATCTAGTAGTAGAACTATTATATTTAAGTACCTATTAGTTAAACTTAATAAGAGTATAATAGAAGGTATTATTCTTATAAGTTAGACGGTTTCTCTTTATATTCTAGTAGACTCTTTTTTAAATCATCTTACGTAAGGAAACTACGCTAGTATAGAAGAAAGGAATAAGGGCTATACTCTTTAGCTTTATACTAAATTTCCCTTTTAGGCTAGTAAGTTAGATCTTAACGTCTCTAAAAGCTTTAATTTAGATATAGTCCTTACTAGCTATTAAAACACTCTTTAGTAAGGCAGGCCTAATAAAGTAGAAGTGTAATCTATTATTATAGATATAAATAGTTACTTCTAAGTCTAGAATAAAGCTATCCTTAAGTAGATAAGTAGGTCTAAAGAAAGAGGATTAGACTAATTAGACTATTAGAATTAGAGTTAATACAAAAACTAAGTAGCTAAAGTTAGTTTAATAAGCGTTAGACGTAGCTATAGTAAAGTCTATAGTAAACACTTTTAGGGCGTCTTTATCCTTGTTCTAGTTAGGTTTACTGTTCTTCTTATTACTATTACCTTACTTGTTCTCTTTCTCTTTCTTTCTAATTAACTTAATTAAAGCCTTAAGCCTACTACTTACGTTTAGCTAATCGTCGATCTTCTTTTAGACGTTATTATAGGGTTTCTACTAATTAGGACGCTTAGATAGTATTAAATAGTAGTAATTATAGTAGTAGTAGTAGCTACTATATAGGTACTTAGGCTTACCCTTACTACTACTACTACTACTCCTTCTACTAAGTATAGCCTCTATAGTTAAGAAGGTACTGTAATTACCGGATTAGGTAACTTTAATGTCCCTCTAGCTTCTAAGGTTAAGTTTAAACTTATCTAATACCTCTTTAAACGTTATTACCTCTTTCTTAAGTAACCTATAGTATACTATCTTAATAAAGTATAGATTAACTTCTTTTAAGCTATTAATAAAGGCCTTAATTAGTCTATTACTAGACACTTCTAGTATCTTATTAACTAAACAAGCTAGGTAAGTAGACTTAAAGCGTTCTACTTAGGTTATAACTAACTGTCCCCTTTTTAGTAAGATACTAGCGTTAGTTAGATCTTATAAGAAGAGATCTTATTTGACTTTATTAAAGGGTATAACCTTTTGCTAAAGATCTACTAGGATCTTATACACTATGTCCTTAGTGTTAATATATTTAACGTAGTCTCTCCTTACTAATCTAGTAATTAGAGAGCGTATGTCTCTAACTAATTAAGCTAAGTACTTATACTCTCTTTAGTATTTAGAGTAATACCCTTAGTAGATATAATATTATTCTTTCTTATCGTCTATTAGTATAGCGTAAGTAACTCTTAAGCTATCTTTAAGGACTCTTTTAATATCTAAAGGATCTAGAAGGCTTAGCTCTACTAGAACAAGAAGTTCTGCTTTTATAGTGTCTAAGTTAATATATATCTAAACTCTAGTACTAAGCGCTTTAGATTTAATGACTTTTATCTAGTAATCTTAGTTACTAGATCTATTAAGAACTAGTATATTTCTAGGCATGTTTCTAGTTGTTTTGTATTAACTAAAAGTAGTATTAGAAGAAGGTAAATAAAAGAAGTAACTCTAGTCGTTTAAGAGTAGTTAACGTACTTTTACTAAGTAGTAGAGTCTACTAAAATCGTCGAAATTAGGTGTAATTCTACTGTTGTTAGTAGTGTTAAATAGCTGTTAGTAGTACTTAGAACTAGTTGTTTAAAGGAAGTAGAAAGGGGTCGATATTAATCCCTTTTAACGCTATTTTAGCTCTTATAATTTAAGCTCTCTAATTAGTTAAAAAGGTGTTTTTATATCAAAATAATAGTTACTAAATAGCTATTAAAGTAACCCGGGCTTATAACTGTTAGATAAAAGAGGTTATATATTACTATAAAGAAGTAGTAATAACAGGCAAATTTAAGTTAGTTAGAAGTAGATTAAATTAAACTAAATTAAATAGAATAGAGAGTAGTCTCCTGTTCTATATACTTAAAAAAGGGGGTTACTATTTATATGTATAGGCGCTATATCTACTATAAACAGGGTATATAGGTACCTAAGTACCTAAATCCTAACAACACTATAAACTATTAAACAGGGTGTAAGGGATTGATCCCTATATATTAATTAAGGGTCAGTTAGTAATTAGGGGAACAGGTTCCGTATCCTAGTGGTAATTGACCCTGCTGTTTGACAATTATATAGCGTCTATATAAATAAGCTGGAGAATATAGAGGTTTACTATAGCCTTGGCCCTTAGACCTGGTATAATTTGTCCATCATTGGAACTCATATTCTCTGTCTGAAAATCTAAGGACTATCTTTCTTTCTTGCACTCAAAGGAAGTGTCTTAGGCCCTCACCAGTGATACCAACGGTTCACCCTTAAATTAGTCGAACTTGCGGGAGTGTGTTTATAATAAGATAAATGAAGCGCATCGCCGAAGAAGAGATCGGCTCGCATATAAAGTTAAAAGTATATTAGTCGAATTGAGAAGAAGGAATTAAGATTGGATTACCTAGGTAGGAAGAAGAGTTATAGGTAATAGCAGCAAACCTTTTCTTAAATAGTATTTTTATGTTTTGCCGCCATCCCTTAAGGGATTACTTGTAATAATTGGTGAATCTGTGTTTATAAGGGTGTCAGGAGGCTCGCGTCTCTGTCCTATAATTAATCGTGGGTCTTTAGACTTCTCTTACAGAGAGTTATACACTGTTTAACCATACCTAGGTAAAATAAAGCCCCATCACATGATTGCTGGTTATGCACTCTGACAAAATGTTCAAGGTATTCACTTGACGCAGGAGTATACAGAGAAAGTGAGATGATCCGTCCATAACTGCACACCATTTATATGAAAGGTCTACCTAATTCAACGCTAAGCCCTGTCTTGCCACGCACTAATAAATTTACGCGAGGCGGCCGCTTCACGTCGCCCCCCCGCGATCCCATCGATCTTCGATGTCCTTCTTTCGTGAATGCCAATCACCTTTCGAAAACCAATAAAGCAACAATGGATCATCTCTCCGTTAAGCTAGGTGAGGTCAACTCTGTCAAAGCCAGAGCCATTGAGGATGCCCGCCAGCGACAAATAAGCATCATTGAGTCTGCCAAGAGGGCCGGCAAGGATCCGCCCAAGTATGTTCTGATGGAGCTGATCGGCAAAGGTAGCTTTGGCCGTGTGTACAAGGGGTAAGTGACCCCCTGCCATCACCAGCCAACGGGTGCAAGCATTGCTTATTCCTTCTGCGTGCGATAGGAAGAACTTGAGTACCGCAAAAGTTGTGGCTGTGAAGATTCTTGACATTGATGAGAGCGATACGGCCAATCCGCGAACTGCTGATTCATACAGCGAATTTCTCAAAGAGGTCAACGCGCTAAAGATTCTGAGCGAGAACAAGGCGCGCAACATTAACCATGTTATTGAGGCTTTGCCAGTGGACCAGACGATGTGGATTGTCACCGAGTACTGTGCAGGGGGCAGTGTGGCCACGCTGGTAGATCTATCTTTCCCCGGACGATTGTAATTGATCATTCAGAGCTAATTGAATAACAGATGAAACCTACAGCTCCGGGCGGCCTTCAAGAGAAGTGGATTGTTCCAATCGTTCGAGAGGTCGCGGAAGCTATCAAATGGGTTCACAAAGCGGGCATCATCCATCGAGACATTAAATGTAAGAGTCCACGATGCGGCAGCTGAATCCTCTGTGTCCTTTGCTTATGATCCTAGGTGCGAATGTTCTTATTACAGAGAAAGGAGACGTCCAGCTCTGCGACTTCGGTGTAGCAGGCACTCTTGAGACTAAGCTGGACAAGAGATCGACCTTTATTGGGACGCTACATTGGATGGCCCCCGAGCTGTTTGATTCTAGTCTAAGCTACGGTAAGGAGGTTGATATCTGGGCCTTTGGAGCTATGGTGTATGAAATTGCCACGGGTCTTCCTCCAAACGTTTCCAGTGGTGTTCCGTACGAAAATCTCGGCACGTATCTAAAGACCCATGCTCCAAGACTTGAAGGAGGAGATTACTCGCAAGAACTACGGAGCCTAGTTGCCTACTGCCTCCAGGAGCTCCCAAGTGCTCGTCCCACAATTGAGCAGGTTCAGAAGCACCCTTACATATACAACAGCAGCGCAACTCATCCAACCTCCTCACTTTCGCATCTAGTTCGGGCTTTTAAGGTGTGGGAAGATCGTGGCAGCAAGAGGGAATCCCTTTTCGCACCCGGCGGTGCCCAAAGCCCGTCGGAGACTCCGATTGCTGACGAATGGAACTTCAGCACAACCGCTGCTTTTGATCAAATGGTCTCCACTGAATCTGCTTCTCAAGAAGTTTACGAGGCATATGGTACACAGGTAGAGCTTGATTCGTCTTTTGATCAAGAAGAAACCGTCAAGCTCCCACAGCATCAGAAACCCTCCAGACGACGCCCTCCACCAGAAGCTTTGGCACCACTCAAGGCACCACTTGAAAAGGTCTTTGATCCTAACACACTGTCAAGCTATAACGACAACAGTCGAAATCAATATCATCGCTCAGTGCAGAAATCCTCGTCTGACTTGCCACTACGAGACAACTCAGCACAGACATCTATCAAAGGCACAACGATCGATCTTGGCGGTCATGACCCCGATACTGGACTTTCAAGCTTTCCTGAGTTCGACACTATCAAGGCGGAACATCTAGCTGGGGCCGACGAAGCAAATCATAGAGCGGCCGGCTCTAGCAGAAGACCTGCACGCAGTGACCCCGCCACCGCTAACAATAATCGCCGTACCCAGGAGTGGAAATTCCCCGTAATGTCACCAACGGCTTGCGAGGATTCAGAGTCATTACGCCATGAGTCCCCACAATCACCTAGAACACCAGGATCCAGTGATCGCCCTCCCTTGGTCCATTATCCCACGGAACCAGCTGGATTCGGAGGCGGCCTGATGACTCCTCAGAGGAATACGAACCGTACATCAATGCAGTCGCTTATTGATCTAGATATGAGCATACCTGAACCCTTACCTGAACTTACTCGACCATCGACTGCCAATTCTGAGGTAGGATCGGCTGCAAGTGGCCAAATGACACCAGGTATTCCTTTCGATCTCGAGAACCACCCATCATTGTATCGATCAGACAAAGGCAAAGAGAGAGAGCCCTCCATTTACGTTACGGATGATTATCCGGTGGCCACTCCTTTTCGTACAGAACAGGCTAATCCAGACTTTGCCAGAGCACCTGACTATTTTGTATCAAGTGGAGGATCAGGCTCAAGGAGTACGTTCGAGCGCTTAAGGGCTACATTCGATCGTGATGAGGTCAAGAGACATGACGGACCAGGACTTGCTCAATCGGGCCATCTCCCAAAGCCATCTCCGCCGCCCACCTCGCAGAATGCTTCCGCTCCACGCCCAGAACGAGCTTACACAATGGAACGCTTCCCTGATCTACCTCCACCACCATCCAGTGCCGCTTTATCCGGTACGCTGTCAAACGATGAGATGGTACACGAGATGACGAGGATGCTTGATGGTCTATCAGGACAATTGGAAGCTTTCCGCGACGTCTATAACTCACCAGCCATTGCTCAGGGAAGAAACCGCTCTAGACACTTTAGCTCAGATGCTCCTGGCAACAATCCAAAGTCTTGAACATCACCTTTTGCTTCATAAGGATGATTCTACGACCAAGATTACTACGTTCCACTTCATGACAAGCCTGGATCTACTCCACTGGCCACTGTATGAACTCCAATGAATTGTCTTCACCTTGCTGAGGGAAGCAATTTAGTGGTGGATTGTAGTACGTATGCCAATGCTTACGAAGCCTACAAAGGTATGCATACACAGTTCGCTTCACTATTAAAGAAAATTCTGACATATGTACTAGGTCTACACAGAAGTATTGCCGCAGCTGGGGAAGATGCATCACTTTGCGAGGAAGTATGGCTATAGCCCAATGTACTCATGGGAAGTATTCAGAAGTAGCCTTCTCAATTGCTTTTCCATTGTCTGTATCCTCCTGCAATTCAGCTCTGGGTATGACCTTCTTTCTGTAACCTGATCAGAGTAAACCCATAATTTTCTTTCCCTCACTTAAACGCCATAAACACGTAACGTATTCACAGAAAAGTGCCTCCTAAAGCCCGTCAAGCGCCTCATACCATCCCAACACCCAGCTGTCGTCCAACCATCCCTCCTGCGTCCTTCCCTCGCACAGCCCTAACGAAACAAAGCCTTCCACCACTTCTTCCGCTTCCCTGATTCACAGTCCAGCCCATAATCCAACGTCCCATCACTGTTCATCACAAAGCCCGAATACTGTGCCAACAGCACCTCTCTTCTTCTCCTCTCCGCCTCGCCCAGCCCTGCATACCGCGCCTTCAGCTCCCGCCTTCCCTTTTCGTCCGTCCCCGTCTCCATAATTGCCTGAAGCACCTCGCGCTCCACATCTACCCTCTCGCTCATTCGTCCGGCGCGGTAATCCTCCTCAAGTCGCCGTGTCATGGATGCGGACATGGGCCCTTGTATGTTGAGTGGGGGCAGCGCGTTGCTAAGCTGTCGTGGGCGAGGCGCTGATGGCGTCGCGTATCGGCCTCTGCGGGTTGAGTACCGGGATGGGGCGGAGGTGGTTGGTGGGTCGTTGCGGGAAGTAGACTCCGACTCCGCGACTTGATTGTAGGAGGTGGTTTGGGACATTTTGGTAGTTAGGTGGTTTGGACTTTGAGGGTTTTGTGGTTGCTGGTTTGCGGGGGAAATTGGTTTGTGGAGAGATGAAAGGTTGGATGTGGGATGATATCGTGGGATGAAGAGGTGGATATTGAGGGATGGGTAATGTGGGTAAACAGAGCGCGTGAAGGTTAGGACGAAGTGAGGTGGTAGGCGTCACGTGGGGATGGTGAATGAAGTGAATACGTACATACCTACCTACCTAAGGTAAGGTAGGTTTATCAAGGAATATATCCTTGTTAGAAAGCTAACAAGAGAAGAGGAACTCGATCCTCAACTTTGTGCTATTCAAAAGTCTTGTATGGACTATAATTCAGATTCTAGTTACTCCTGTAAACACTGTCTGTTGTCTTGCGGGGTTACTTTCCTAGGGATCTACTTCCTTATTTAATCTCTGATTGGCTTTGCTCTCAATGTCTTCACTTCTATAGTTCACGATATTTCATCTCGATTCTTCCTTGGAAAGTTGGCTGCTAAACAACGTGGCTTCCTCCCTTTCTTTCCAACTCAGTGTCAACCTCCTACATGCCTTTGACCTTTGATCTGTTTGCACGCAACACAGGTTCAACCGCCACCCTCTATAGATGAACCAAGCGCTTCATCTCAAGTTCAAAGAGTGATATCTTAGCCCATGATGGATTGGGATACTTTGTTGTTAGAGCATGTCGAGAGAGCTGAGAGAGCCAGGTCAGACTCAGATGTTTCTACAGAACGGGTCCCTGCTACAACAAGAACACGACAATCACCTCTTGGACAAGCTCAAGCTGATGAAGCTTCTACTGCTGTCTTACCTGACTTGAACATCAACGTTGCTTCAGATCACGCTAGACCGGCTGTGCCAGCTGTATGGGCAGACTCTCACAATGTTAGATCGACAACGGATAACAAAGAGAACTTTAGGTCTTCAGGCCTGTTCCAAATGCTGTAAGCTTTGCCCTTTTGCTGTCTTGACTAGATAGGTCTAATAACTGAACAGGTCTATCCTACATGAGCGTTCCAAAGCAGAAACCAGGAAGAATCAAGAAGATAACAGGTTATTACCAGCGTTTTCGTCAAATCGGAGACAGTTTCTAATATCTTGAAGTGAAGAAAAGCCCAAAGAAATAGTAGAGGAGGAGACAGAGGCTATGTTGTTAAGATATCTAGAGCAGATGAAAGAAAGGTGTGTGCTGTAACAAAGCCTGGATTCAAATACTAACAAGCTCATTCACAGACGCGTAGAGCTGCACCCTGTTATGCTCAGACCTGCTGCATCCCTCTGGGCAATTTCTCTCGGCGACAAAACAATGTATGCCAAAGATGACGAAAGCAAGCAGCTGTGAGTAAACATCTAACCATTTCTTTGATCCAAAAAATCCTAATGCGTCCTTAGTGGCAGTTTAGTAGAAGCCTTCTTCAACAGCACTCCAGCAAGCACTCCGAACAAGGAAATCCCTCTGAAGACAGTTCGACCTGCATGGCTTCACACGATCAGTGGGGGAGGGGTGTTAGTGGACTTCTTCTATCCGGAGAATCCCCTACCTATCCACATTAGGTATCCGAACCCGTTTCTTGTCGAAGGCTCGATTCTTCGTCCTATAACCCTAGCTGCTATCGAAGAAGAGCCTGTCGCTGAAGAACCTACAAAATCACCTAAAAAGTGCGATGTAGATACCTAGGTAGATATTTAGGGCAATTAGGGGCACGGGCAGGGCGGGGGCATGAATGATGGTTTTAGTTTACAATTACTGATAAGTTGCGAGTGGCAGTGAAGAAGGATATGGAATGGGGTGGTTTTGATAATTGATTGTGTTTCAGAGATTCGGATCTGGGAGGAAGAGTGAATCATCTCTTGGTGAATGAAGGACACCATTGCTGACTTGCTCAATAAATCTGTCTTCTTTGATAATTCTCTCTGCATACCTGTGACTCCTTATTCTCGTGTTTATACACTCAATGTGAGTATTAAGAGGCGCTGAAGAATGGAGAGTCTGATAAAGAGCCATCTTCTACTTAGTGAAATGTCGAAAAGAGTGGTTTAGATAAAAAGAGCCAGGCATAGAGAGATAAGATAATAAAGCTGGTTACAGAACATGGAGTATTTTGAATGAATATGTTCAAACTAAGTTTATTGGTGGGAAAGTAGTATTAGAGACGAAATAAACATAAAATAAACATATCATCTTAGAATGTGATACTTGAAAAATTAGTGGTATGAGGAGAGGATTGTTGGCTGCTCAGTGTCAAGATTCGCCTATTCCGAAAATGTGTTGTGAACTCAGGGGCTTTTTGGACCCCTTAAAATACCCGAAGCCCTCAGGCAACCAGGCACCACATTTCAGCCACAAAGGTAAAATCGTCGATCATGTGCTTTCGCTCCGCCCCTAGCCGTAATAGGAATGGCGCGCTTCCAAACTCTTTTCAAAGCGCGTCGCGTGGCACGTCTTCTTCATCCATCCCACTTCCATTGTCTCTCCCCGCCAACCCCAACTCGACTCTGGGAGAAATGGTGCAGCACAATGTCTGTCACGACGGCAGAGGTAGAGAGAGCTGCTATTGAGGATGAAGGCGGTGAGGACTGGGATACTCAGTACTGCCGCCGCCTGCAAGAGGAGATTCTGTCGGTGCGACACCCCCTGCGAGTTACTGCATCTACGCCCTCCATGGATTGAGTACAAGGATGGCACTGACCATCGAATAGAGCAGCCCCAGAAACATTCAAGTCGCGTCGAACATAGGCAGAGACGAGAACGTCGAGAGCTTCAAACAAGCAGCCCCTCACCAAGGTGAAGGTACTTCGTCATCTACGGAAGGCGACCCGGAAGTCCTTGAAGTCGAATCTTCCAACCATGCTGAGCAGTCCAGGCCATTAACCGCGCATTGGACCACCCAAGCTGACAGCGCGGACAACAATGCTCCAACAGCTCTTTCAAACGCCTTGTCGAACAAATTGAGAACCCCGGACTCCAGCGGTAGAATCGATCGCCCAGCTCGAGTGGAGAAAAGCCGCGCGGAAATGGAGGGCTTGACACAGATAAGCTCTCTGTCACCGACACAAGAGAATTCTGAATCAGCGTACGAGCAGTTCATGCTTCAAAGAGCCAACGATTACCATTCGACTGCGGATGCGCCAGAAAAGGTGGACGATCTAGACCATGCGCCGACTAGCGATTATGATTCTTTGCTTCCCAAACATCACTCAGCAATCACCGACTCCACGGCACGTACATATCGAGAGGATGATACTGGGCATGTTTATTTCGATGAATTCGTGCCTGAAGAGCACCCTTTGGGCGATAAGAGTCCAGAAACGGATCCCGTTTCTCAAGATGCTTCGTATGCGCCAAGGGTGGAGGATTTTTCGTATAGAGAGTCATACGAGCCCCAAACTCCAGCTGCGCCTGTCAACCCATTCTCCAACAAGGGTAGTGTGTTGAAGGCACATGAGATGTTTGGAGCAACACAGTCGTCATCCATCGGTCGACACATCGCGAGTGTCACGTCTTCGCGACCTTCGCCCGATGTCTACAATGATTTTACCTCTCCCCCAAAGCGGATACTCTCTTCACCACTGGCTCGGCACGTGAGGGTAGATGAGACAACACCGCTACAATCTTCCGCCCGAACAACGCTTCGCTCAAGGTCGATGGATTCGCCGCATGGGACAACAAGTACTCGGGTGTCAGGGGTACAATCCTTCGATGTGGGACCGAGAATCCAGTTGCAAAGTGCAGCACGCGAGCAGCTGCCATATATTTCTATGAAGGAATCACAAGAACGACGAATGAAGGAGACGAGTCGTTCATCGCCAGATTCTGAGACTGAATCCGATTCTGATATTGATGATATACAAAGAAAACGTCAGCAAAGAAGACGGAGGGAGCAGGAAATACGGAAACAGCTATCTATCGTTGAGTTGCACAAAAATCCGAAAACTTCCCGTAGACCTCGCTCCTCGAGCCCGGACGTTGTCGAAGTACCATCATCCACAGGGAGACGTCGCTCGATCGATGAAGATTATATTGCTCAATGTGAAGGCAGAGACGCTCGTGACACTCAGCAAGATGACATTATTGCCGATTCTCAAGGTGACACTCAGCGTCTTGAGCAGACGGAAGCCGCAGTCGTATCGAAGGATGTTGTTCCTTCTTGGACGGGCTCCGTTGGAACAGCCGACTCGAATGTACCTCCTTCGTCAAGTCTACGGCCACATAAGCATGAAACTGATTCGGAACCCGTTCCCGATTTAGATTCAAATACAAATAGCGAGCAGAACTCTAGTCCACCAAACGGACCTGCTTCTCCTCTCCAGCAACAAAATCTGCCACCAAGTCTTCCTCTCAATGAAGTATCTACAAATCGCACTGATCTACGAACACCTATGGCTAGCAAGGACCAGGTATTCTCAGACGGTGCCGATGTTACTGTTCCAGAGACGAGTCCTTCTGGGGATCGCATACGCCCGATGGGGGAGATCGCAAACATATCGTTTGCTGAGAATAATTCTGATGAAGCGCAAGATTATCCGGGATTTACACAGGATACTGAATTTGAAAACGCCATTCAGCCTCGGTCATCTCATCCGACCCCGAAGCGGACCAGGGCCAAGCGCAATCCTTTTCCTGCTTTTGCTCCACCAGCTGCAGAATCAGAATTTCCGAGGGTCTCAAATGAACAACCTGAGGTTCCTGCTGCGGATGAACCATCAACATCGGCTGCGACCATTTCTGAGGAACGTGTCAATGATAGTGTTGAGGCAGTGTTAAGTACTTCCAGTGTTATGGTTGTTGTGCATAGCTCTCTACAATCCGTGGCAGACTATACAGAGACAGGAAGAGCAAATGAAGACGGCCCAGAAAATCAAGACGGTGATGATGCAGACCACATTCCTCAGGGATCTGGGAAGAGAGATGGCCTCCGCTCGAAGGAAAACTTGAAAGGTCCCTCCCGAGAATTACGTCGCTCTGGACAAGCTGTAACCCCAAAGACTTATATCACACCTCGGCAAGCTTCACGAGTCTCGAAGAAGAGCTCCACATCCACCGTGAGCCCGGCTCGGTCTGCAATACTTAACTCGGCAGCCTCGAGCGATTTGTCTGTCCCACCATCGCCCATTTCCATTCCAGAGGGCTTAGCTATGCTGCCTTCGATGCGAAAAGAAAGTCCTATTCCAAGCGCAAGACGGCGTGGGCGACCCCCCAAGGCAAAGGTAGATATTGAGCAAGAACCTTCCCCAGCACCTGCTAAAAGGTCTCTCAAACGCAAATCATCTTTTGCAGATGAACCTCATCTCACCAAACGATCATCCAAACGTCAATTGGCATCGCATCCGGGTAGAGATAGCCCCGATCCCCTTGCCATGACAAACCTCCCCTCAATTGCCGTAAGACAACAGAAGAGGGCAGGTGGACTGTTCAACAAGATGGCATTCGCTGTCTCGTACGTCAACCAATTTCAGGAGAAGAATGTTGTGATAGCTCTTATCACGGAACAAGGCGGCCAGATCCTGGAAGATGGATTTGACGGTTTATTTGAGCCAACATCATTCTCAAAATCACGAACTAATTCTGCAGACGATGTAGAATTAACTCTATCACCGGTAGCGAGCAGGATCGGCTTCGCGGCTTTGATCGCGGATGAACATTCAAGGAAAGAGAAGTATATGCAGGCACTGGCGCTTAGCCTTCCGTGTATCTCAGGACGGTGGATCTCGGCTTGTGTTTCAAAAGGCGAAATCCTTGACTGGGGTCCTTACCTACTCTGTGCCGGTCAATCTTCATTCCTCGGCAATGCTATCCGCAGTCGTACCTTACAGCCTTACCCCGCCGTCGATGCCAACTTTCCAGAGACTTTCTCCAACAGAAAGAAATTCCTGAATGGAAAGTCCATCTTGCTTGTCACAGGCAAAGGTCGTGCCGAGGACAAACGAAAGGCCTACATCTTCCTAACACGCGTTCTGGGACCTTCACGCATTGATCATGTCCCGGACTTGGAGCAAGCGCGAAAGAAGCTTTTGGACTCAGCAGAGCAGACTTGGGACCTTCTTTACGTGGATGGTAATGAGCAACATGCTGAAACTGTTGTCTTTGGTCAGACGCCTACGACCAGTGTCGGCTCAAGGAAACGGAAGAAGGGTCCCGTTCCGGCTAGCGAGAAGCCGATACCAGAGGAGAAGAGAATCAGGATCATCAGCGACGAGGTCATGATCCAGAGCCTTATCCTAGGTCAACTGTTGATTGAGTAATTCTGCGGATGGGAATGCGTGTATTGTCGGAATATCGTCCCGGCGCATTACGGCCGATTGATCGGTCAATGTCGGATTTCAGCCAACTGGCAGAAGGCAGAAGGAGAACTATTTACTGTACGATTATTTTGCATGGCGTTTGGAGAGGGCATTACATTGTACATATCATATTGAGGCGGATTTGCTAATACTCTGCATCAGGAAGGGTCTGGGCTAGAGGAGTTTACTTGCTATGATACCATGAGGACTTGGCGGGCCCAGATACAAGGATAACCAGGGGGGATGGAGAGTGTATATATCTGAGAATATAACTTCGATTCCCCGTGCGTGGCATGTTTATTTGTCTTTGCGAGATAACCTTAGGATAGGCATATGATACTAACAGCTTCTAAGAGTTCCTCCTAAGGGGTTCCGCCTAGGATAGATCATAGATAGGATATAGAGTTCTCTCTCCTTCAGACTTTATCATCTCTCTAATACCCTACTAGTTACACTAATCAGATTCAAAATTTATTGACGGCAGTTAGCTACCTTATCCTGCTTCGTATAGGGGCCCAACCCGTTTTAGGTACTCTCTTGCCGACTACTAGTTCCTCCACTCCTCTTATGATGTTCCAGGTACTGTACTCTACCCTTTGACACCCCCCTACACAAGACATAGATGTCTAATGTTCTTGGCAGGAAGTCTAGAATTCGATACTCGACTTAGACTTTGGACTATCTTGAAGATGTGCCAGAAGTAGAAGCTACGTTTCGCTTTACAGACTCTGATAGCCTTAGAAGAACCCTTCGCGCGTTCTCTTACACTACAGGGGATCGTGGCTAACTTAGTGACAAGACTGTTCTCGTTACAGAATTCCCGCCCGAGAGCTTTATTATTGACAGTAACGAAGAGTCTCCTATCCTAAAATCCTATGAGGCCCTATATCTCGATGATATAAGAATCATCGTCCTCGTTATGCGGGGGCTCCCTCACGAAGTAGCTAGTCGGCGTTTTAGAGCGAAACTAGATATTAAAATAAACGACATGAACCAGCAAATCAGTGGCCGTAGAGGGAAGGGCATATGCGAATCACTTTGACGGGAGGAGTGGCGTAGTTGTCTGTAGCGAGAATTACAAGGACCGAGATGAGAGTAGTCTTGGTTAGGGACTATAACCGTTAGAAAGATTAAAATGATGGACCTGGTGGCAACGTGTGGACGAGATAAGGATAATAACGATCAATCAAATGACAATGAGATTTACAACTCACAACGATAATAATAGATAACTAAGATAATGATAATTCCTTGTATTCACTCTCATCGACAAGACCCGATGACACACACGAATTTGGAAAATTGTACGTCTCGACAAGAAACCTAGTTCGCCGCCGGTGCTTACGTTGGGTTGCGTTGTGGTAGTTGAGAGAATAGATAGAGAGGCAGGAGAGAAGAAGTAATAAAAAAGAGCTCGCCTCGAAGAACAAATACTCGACTATGTGCGTGACGCGAGAAGGGGGTTTATCAAATCCCTACATTAATTGATTGCTACAGCTTCCGGGACCCTGTCGAGTTCTAGAGTGAATAATATGTCTTCTGAATCTTAGGTACGAATTGGTAACAACAGAGTTTTAGCTATCTGCGCTGCTTGCTTGCTTAACTGGTATGGAGAGAATCAATGAGTTATTGGGCCCGTATCCTCTAGGAGAACCTACCTTACTAGCTAGCACACTTTACAAACCTCGATACTAGACCTCGATACAGCGCGGGAACGTAGGGATGCACAAGGCTAGCAAACTTTCTCAATCTTTAAGTGTAGCGCGCCGCAACGGCGGTCTAGATAGTTCGTGTTGAAGAAGATCCAGTCTGAGGAGGTAAGAAAGAAGAAGGGTAAGTGAGAGGAGGTTGGCTGTATACGCGTGACGAGGCTTGAGCGGTAACGCCGTACTTTTTTTATGTCCGGGAGTTATTCCTTGAAACAAAAAGACATTTTCGTTCTGATTAAAATGCATCACTGCTGTCTAGAGATTGGGGATTGGAATAGTTGAGATTTTCTCGACCTTGCAGTCATCGACGACTAGCAGTGCTTGACTTCTGGCACCACCACGATTACCGCATTGAAGCATTCTGATATACTTCTTGAATCGATAGGAAAACTGTGGGAAGGTCTAGCTTTCCTATACCTTGATATGTAAGAGCTTCCGCTTCACCTGGAACAATATCTCCCAGATGACTGGTCGTCGCGCCAGAAGATTTCTGGCAGCTCAAAGTCAGCCATACTCATCTTCACGCATAAACTATATACGTTATCGTCTTTAGAGAAGGCTGTAGAGGGTGGTGTGATCAAATGCCTGCATAGAAGTTAGAGAAATTGATAGTAGACATCTTCCCGACACTCTTGCTGAGAATAATCAGTCGCCAAGTGACCACCGTTCTAAATATGTAAGGTAGATAAATCACTAGGTACCTAAGGTACGTAGGTAAATCTTTACCTATCAGAAATGCATGAGGGTATTTAACTTCTATAAAGATATACACATCATCCTATCGTGAGTAGAAAACTGTCTAGTAACTCAACGCATAACACAGAGAATCAAAAAGGCAGCTTCCCCGGTCTCTCCAGCCCAACTCCAACTACTCAAACCTTTCTGACAACTGTGCATATTTGAGAGGGCGCGTAAGTCTATTCATAGTCCGATTGACGTGAGAGTAAGCAAAGAAACAGAGAGTTCTCGCAGAGAAACGACGCGATGTCCTAGGCATGCTCTGACTTGGGGCAGCGTTGAATTCAAAAGACCAAGAGCAAAATGAAAGGATGAAGAACGTATCAAGTCTGAGCACTAGGTACTGCAAGTTCGTATCATCAATCCAATCTACCTTTACCCTTCGCGCTTCCATTCGCCGCCCTTGGAGTGGATGTCTTTTTCTCGTCCTTGATTTCTTTGACCTTCATATCCAAGCCAACATAGAACTTCTTCCCACGCCACATAACAGTCGTTCCTCCTAAACAAGCCCAAATCCAGATAGGAAGCGCAAGAAACTCTCGTCCAAGCCAAGCAAGCACCCACTCTTTGAGCGATCGACGTGACCTTCCGATATAAGGAATGGCAAATGAGGGTGTGTCGACATCGAGTTCGACGGAGGACCCGGAATGCAGTTTTGCGTAGACGAGGGAGTCTAGCAACATCCATGTTATCACGCTGGCGAGCCAGAGAATGGCAAAGGCGGACCATGTTTGTGGGATGAAGGGGAACCAGGGGAGTGTGGTGAGAGCAAAGGCTCCGTATACCGAACACAGGAATGGTTCTACGCCCGGCTCTACGAAAGTAGCCAATGTCACAGTCCACTTTCTAACCCGCAGCCAGCGTACACGGCGTGCAATGTATTCTCGCACCGACATGCCAGCCATAGGTTGAATTGCTAGATCCCCAAGCACCAGACCGTGTTTCTTCCATTTCTCTCCTGCTACTTCGCCAGCGACTTTCTTGCGCCAGAGAAGATCGCCAATGAGATGGTCTTCGCAGATGTTTTCGGAGAAGAAATCAATACCCGGCGAGTACGGTGAGGCGCCCGAGGTGAGGTAGTTGAGATGTGAGCGCCGGAACATGTTGGACTTACCAACAATGCAGGGAGCAACAGCGACGGTGTTGATTGCGGTATAAAATTTGGCGTGAGAGCATGCCATGAACATCTCCTCAAGACGCCCGCCACGGATTCGGAGGATGCTAGACAACTGGGATTCGTTCTTGGGAGTGGAGGAGATACTGTATGCTGCTGAGCTGGTGGACGAGACTTGATGTTCTTTGTTGTGCTCAGGTCTTAAGATTCCTCGAGCCTCTTCCCCAGCACTGGCACTAACACTGTCCACGACCAGAGGCAGTTGATGAACAAACTTGTAGGGCGTGGTTCGTGACCCATCCGCTTTGAAGCCGCAGAGCTTGTCAACCATTCGACCAGCAACCCCGCGCCCAATCCAAACATTGCAGTCAATGATCCAGACAACGTCTCCCTTTGCTTCCCGGTATCCTCTGCTCATGTTCCTAATCTTGGGATTGGGGCCCAAGTTGGTTATTTCCCCTCCATGGCCACTGAGATTCGGATCCTCCTCCTCGAGGAAGATCTTTGTATCGAACGACGGGAAGTCTGCCAGCAGACGTTGCAAGACTGGATACGCAGGATCCTTGACCGATTCTATGCAGAAGTAGATGGTCAATTTCTCTCGTGGATATTCCTGGTGGAAGGTGGCCGCAAGACACTCGTATAATTGCGGTTCGAGCCCCTTAACAGGTCGCAGAATGGTAACATGCGGGATATCATCTGGGTTTAACTTGGGAGAAACAGCAGGTTTTGGCTTCGAGGAGTAAGAGCGGAATCTGTTTGAGCATCAGCACGACCTCTCTCCAAACTGCGCATTTCACGAACAATTGGGTGAAGCCAATGGCCTGGACGAGGATGATAAAGAAATACCATATTCCACACGCAAGGGCCGCTGCAAAAAGCCACAACGACATTTCATGTTTTTCTGAAGCTACTCCTACTGCAGATGCAGTAGCCAGGACGGAATTGGGAGAAGGACTTCTCATACGGACGATCGTCCATTTGTAACCAAAGACACCATGGCTCCTTTTTTTTTTTCTTCCCTCCTACAAAGCAGCGGGAAACACGGAAGTGCCAGACTCGAGAGCAGTGCAGTCGGGTCACGTGATCCGCCCGGCTCTTCCCGCGTCTAAATATTTTCTGACTAGAAAAGAAAAAAATGATGGTGGCTTCAAGCATCCAACATCTCCAATTCTTCTGCAACTTCTTCTCAGCACCACTGAGGGGAATGCCAGGAATTGTAAGTATTGCATCCGTTTCCTTCTCTCTCTAGAGCGACAGGCCTATTCTGGCTACCCACTGCGGTGATGACACCTTCGATGCTCAGGAGAATGGCTCTGACTTTACGTCGTTCTCCAATGCTGGCTCAATTCTTTCGAGAAGACTACAACGGTATCTGAGCAATGTTGCCAATCATAACATATTCATAGAGAGGTCAAACTATCATAGTCCCAGCTGGCTAACTCTCTGGCTGCTCAGGAATCAATATGAAGCCCCGATAGCGTCGCCTTCACATCATGACAGACGTGACTCAAAAACCTCAGTCTGGGGAGGACAAACCTCGTCCCTCGGAACCCAGACTTACTCGCTCCCAACAGCTGAACAAGCTATACGCTCTTCCAGCTCCCCTCCGAACCTTTCCCCTTCCCACTCTTGTCCCGCACAACCCATTATCCCTCTTTCACGTACTCTACGTATGGTTATCACAAACAATCAAGCCACCGTCATCACATATAGAGCCATTGTATGATGGGCACTGGTCTCCGGAAACCCGGTCTGTGCATATCACCGATGGACGGTCGGTCCGAGGGTTGTGGGAGCAGGGATTCTACGGTAAGGGGAGCTTGAGTCGAAGTGAGCCTAACTGGATGAAGGGACAAATAGCTCGAGCCAATAAATTGAGAGCTACGAGTGAAGAGCTTACAAGGCAAAGGCGAGAAGAACGGCAGCAGGCCAAGTGGGAGAGAGCAAGGAAAGAAAGAGAAGCTATTGATCAGAAGCTTTTGGAAGAGGCTAAAGCCGTTCTGGAGGAGACTGTTGCCAATGATGACTCTACTTGGACGGAAGAAAAACCGCTGAATGAAAGTGACACCATCTCGACCATTTCTGAACCTGATCGGAATACATGGCGCAGAAGTCTCAAGTTCTTTCCATCTCCCGTTGGACCGATCGAGCTTCTCTCACTGCCAAACTCTTTATCAGACTTGGAGCACTGGGCGTATGATGATGAGCCTGTCAGTCCAACTCCCATAGAAGAAGGTACACGACACAGAAGTCGGTCAATGCCATCTCCTGTTGGACCGATCGAGCTTCTTTCTCTACCAAACTCTTCTTCAGACTTAAAGCAATGGGTGTATGATGAACCTTCGAATCCGAACCCCATAAAAGAGGACATGGGGCCAAGAAAGCAGCAGTTTCTACCTCCCGTTGGACCCACCGAGCTTCTCTTGCTACCAAACTCTTCTTCGGACCTGGAGCATGGGCCATATAATGATGTAGCTGCCAGTCCGGCAATTCATCTAAAAGAGACCCCTGTCAGCCAGCAATGTGCAGCGCCTACAGGGCCATTGGAGATCTTGGCCTTGCCTAATTCCCTTGAGGATTTATCTCTTAGGGGAAAGCCCCTGGAAAGTAGAGATCACGCCGAGGCAGAACTTGATAAGTCTACCAATGGCTATTCACATATCCCGAACGGCATTGAACCTGATACAGCGCCTGGTGCGGAGATTAATGATAAATGGACGAATGATTCTGGTGTCAATGGACGTACTGGATCTGAAACATCTGTAAATGGAACAACTGCGGACATCCGTGATGAAGCAAGCAGTAACTCGGTGCAATCCGAAGAGATAGTGTCCAATGGCTTTGCCAGCACAAACGGGGCGCCTGAGACGCCAAAAATCAAGCGTCAGAAGAGTGTAAGGTTTTCACCCACGGTCGAGCAGAATACGTTCATCGAAGGGGAGCCACCAAATCTCGAAGGGGGCAGCAGCTCAACAGCCGCCTCCATTGAACTCCAGGAGAAACCTCTTGTCATCCAAGACCAAGAGCACTTCCAGCTCATGATGGAAGAAGCATTTTTCCTATCCTACGGCCTTGGTGCCCTGAAAGTGCTCGATTCCACCAACTCCCCGATTTCCAATGAAGATCTCTTCTACATGTTCCGAAGATATTCACATTTCACACCCGTCTCCAACCCCATCCTCTCTCCAGACGACCCATTTGTTCTCAACTATGTTGTTTACCACCATTACCGCTCTTTGGGCTGGTGCGTGCGCGGCGGGGCGAAATTCTCCTGTGATTTCCTGCTTTACAACCGCGGACCCGTCTTCTCCCACGCCGAATTCGCCATCATCATCATCCCATCCTACACCGACCCGTACTGGAGCTCGGACGTATTTATGCAGAATTACGTGAAGGGGAGAGAGAAGAAGAGCTGGTCCTGGATGCATTGTATCAATAGGGTTATCAGCCAGGTTAAAAAGAAGCTGGTCTTGGTTTATGTGGATGTTCCTCCGCCGGTAGACACGGACGCGGAGAGGAAATTGGGTATTGATGGGGTGCTGGGAAGGTACAAGGTTAGGGAGTTTGTCATGAGGCGTTGGTTATCGAATCGGGAGAGGGGATCGAACGAGGAAAAGGAAAAGGCGTGAGTGTGTGTATGATATGTAGGACTAGACATGTGATATAACACATGAGAGTTGAACCTCGTGTCTTTCTGGTCGTTTGATCTATGATTCTATAGACCATGAACTAAAGCTAAGCTGTTCATCTCATACACTCGTTCGGGGAAATGACTGAAGTGGTATACTCAACCTTCACTCTAACTCAACCCCCTCCCCCCTCCCCTCCCTCCCTCTATACCAAACAGAAGCCTACCAACACCAACTCTCATCCCATCCACCCTCTTCCTCTTTTCTTTTCCCACTCATCAATCAATCTCCCTCCTCCTCCCTCCTTCTCTCCTATCCCGACATTATACCCATATAGCTTCAACATCTTTTCTCAACCACTCCCCCCTCCGGGCGAGGTTTAACACTTATTCGTTTATTTATTCATTTATTTATATAGCCCGTTTGTCCGATCGATTCTAGTTAACACGCACCCCTACCCACCCCCCACCCCTAACATAAACATATATCATCCCCATCCCCCCCCCCGGCTCCCCCTCCCCCTCTCCGCCCCTCAAAAGAAAGACAGAAATCAATAAAGAATAAAGAATAATAGTAAAAGAAACTAAGAATACAAAGAGGTAATGAATTAAAGTACCTATAAGTAAGTAAGTAAGGAAAAGGGGGTTAGATCTTATCTATGTAATTGCTAATGATTGATCTCTACCTAGGTAGGTATGGATTTATGGATTTAAGGGGAAAAAAAGGGGGGTGGGGGTTGTAGGCATATCACATTAACGATTTCAAATCATCCATCATCTATCATCTATCATGCACTCACTAATGTTCATAATCCCATTGCATTACATTCCAATCCATTCCATTACAATTCGTTATTCTAATCTACTCTATTCTCTACTCTTCTGCTATGTTATAGGACAATTGATATGTCTGTGGCTGCGAGGCTATTATTTTTTGGATTGTCTGGTTTGTTCTGCGTTTTGACTGGAAGAGGAGGAGGGGGGGGGATGAGGAATGAGGGGGTTGTGTAGGGTAGTGTAGTGTAGTGTAGTGTGAGGTGATGGAGAGATTTCCGACGCCCTATCTCCCAATGCCTCTACCCCTTCGCGCAGCAGAGTACTGTAAATAAACAGGGGGGTGAAGGTATGATTATATCTTCATCTTCATCTCCCTATCCTCATTCCCCTCCCTCTTCTCTTCCCATTCACGTTCGATTTCTCATCTCATCTCATCTCATCTCAGAAACAAGCTTCCAATTCACGCCCCCTCCTCACCCAACACCACCCACCTCTTCTCACTCTCCTTCTTCCCCACCCTCTTAGCCACGACCTCCAGCGTCGATTTGACCATGGTCCCAGTCGCGCGCGGGAACTGTTTCTTCAGGACTTCGATCAGGCCGACTTTCGAGAGGTTGCTGCCTTGGATCGCTTGCTTGAAGCTGGGGAGGAGATCGGGAGGGAGGAGTTTCTTGTCTTTGGGTTTGGAGGAGGTGTCGGGCGAGAGGGGGAAGAGTTTGGGGGTCGAGGTGGAGGTAGATGTGAGGGAGAGGTGGTTGGAGAGCGTGTTGAGGGGGAGCCGCGGTGGTTCCATGCTGGTGGTGGTTTTAGGGGGCGTGGGTTCCCAGTAGTGGGAGCTGAGGGGGTCGATAGATTGAAGGTTTTCGTCTGTTTTGATTAGCTTCTTTCCTTTAACACGTCCATAATCCGCAGAAGAGACATACCGATGATAATCTCCATGCGATACTGCCCCATCGTCTCATTCCCATTCCTCCTCCGCTCATCCTCCCAACACAACCCCGTAGAGATAGGTTCCAGATCACCCTGCAGCACCAACCTCTTCGAATTCGCCAGGTCGTCATTCTCATCATCCAGGAAACCATCCATATCCTCCGCATCATCCAGCTCTGCATCATCCTCTTCTCCCTCGCTATTCAGGTCCTCCGCATCCTCGTCCTCGATCCACTCCGCCTCGCTATCGTAGTCGTAGTTCGTATCAGGGAGATCGCGACGCAGCGGGTTCCGTGCCAGCTTCCTCACCCCGTGCAGCGGAAGACTGGTGTACGTGCCGCGGTACGGCGGACGCACGTCCTCCTGGAACTGGAGGAACTTCAGCGGGACCGCCCGCAGCAGATCAGTTGGGCTTTTTGGCTTGTTTGAGTCCGTGAGATCGATCGGTCGTGTGGCGTTTCCGGAAAACTGGGCCATGATCTCGCGGAGGGGGATGACGCGCTTGCCGCGGGCGGGGCGTCGAGGGAGGTGAAATAAGGATAGAGCGTCGAAGGAGAGTTGATGGTCTGGATCCCGCTTTTCGACAATGTAGCTATCAATAACGCGTTGTCGATTCGCAGAGGCCTCCTCGTCCCGCTCGAATCTGTTGATCGGAGCCATCTCAACACCTTCCTTTATGAAGAAGGGCGGGAATTGTTTATCGTAGTATGAGATCTCTGGTTTACTCGGTGTCGAGGGGCTGTCAACCGCTCCAACGGGATTCGAAGGGACTGAATTCGAAGGCGCGGGGCTCATCGAGGATCTCTGTTCCAGACTGTTCTTCGCCGCGGCTGGTGAAGCTGCGGGAACTTTAAAGAACGAATTTAACGTCTTCTGCGCCCTCTCCTTCTTCCTCTTCTCCTCCTCGATTCTGAGCTTCTCCTCCTCCTTCAGCCTCCTCTCTTCCTCCCTCCTCCTCCTCTTCTCCTCCTTCGCTGCCTTCTCCGCCTCAAGCGCCAATCTCTTCTCTTCCCTCTCCGCCTCCTTCCGCGCCCTCTCGTCCGCCTTCTCCCGCTCCTTGATCTCCTTATTTATCCGCTTCAACTCTTTCTCCGCAAACGTGAGTTTGGCTCTCTTGACCTGCGGCGTCGCCATTGCATCTGTTGCCGATCCAGTGTTACTCCGTGCCGGACTGGCTGCTGTAGCCTTTTCTTCTGTATTAGGCGCGGCAGATTTATCCCCAGGAGTCTCTTGTAGACCTCCTTCTAATACCCCTTTGTTCGTATCCCCATTCGCTTTCCCCGAACCGTCTATCAACACCATGAGTTTCGCTTTCTTGACCTGCGTCGCCCCCACTGCGTCTGTTGCCGACCCCGTGTTATCCCGTGCTGGACTGGCTGCTCGTTTGGGTGTGTCTTCCGTAGTAGTAGATTTATCTTCCGGGGCCGTATCCTGCGTCCTCTCGCGAGCATCCAGCTTCTCTCCCCCCTCCCCCTCAAACAAGAACTGATCATGATCTCTCTTCTTCGGGGGCGTCGCCATCTCTGCCATCTCTCCGATCCAAATTAATCCCAACCCGACCCGATCTTGATTATAATCCCAACCAATCCGAATTTCTCTCCACAATTCCCCGATCAACTCAACTCAAACCAACTTCCAAATCTTCCCCGTCCAGACTTCTTTCTTTCAATTCGTCTCTTCGTCTCTTCGTTTATATTCAAGTTCGTTGCGTTGGTCGGAATAACCTCTCGAGAACAAGACAAGACAAGTTGAGTTTGAGAGATAGAGAGGCGCGTTGAAGTTGAAGATCGCGCGCGCGTCAGACACGCGATTTCATTTAATTCCAAGTCGTTTCGCTACCCCCTACGCTATGCCCGAAGCGGTGACTCCGCTTTTTGTTTCTGCCGCATTGGGATTATGCGAGGAGAGAGAGGAATGAGAGTTGGTTCTTGGATGGATGCATGGATTATGGGGTTTATATTATATTATGTTATATAACATCGCCGACCTAGGTATTTATTTGATTATTTACTTTGTCAAACGAAAATTAACGAGGGAGGTTTTGGGGTTGGGCCAGGTATGGGTATGGGTATAGAAACCATGGTGAGTGGAGGGATAATTCATGATTTTGAAAAAGAATCTGATGTGAATTTAAGGAGTTGTGGGGGAGATTGTATATACATAGACAATATACATACATACAATGCGATAGTTCATGATATCGAGGATAAGCAGCTTTCTTTGAGCCTCATATATATACAACGTACACGTAGCCACACAGGCACACACACATAACAATATCCTATCATGATATTCTATTCAATGCTCATCTCAGTATATTCAAACAAATCCCCGACGCTCCCTGCGATGCCGCCAAACGAACGAACAACAGCCGAACAACAGCCATCTTGGTATTAAATGCAGTCCCGCTCTGGTGATTAGAGAACACAGGATCTCAATCCTGTCCCCCCGTCCCGGCCCTGACCAGAGCGCCCGCGTTCGCCATACGCCGTTATGATGTAAAATGCATGGACCAGCAGCCGTCTCGCGGATACACCCTGCCTGGTGTTGGTCCTTGGTGTTCTCTCTCTCTTTCTTGTCTCCCCGTGGATGTCCTCTCCTTCGGATAGTACCGCCTGCCCTCTGTTGGCCGACCCTGATACCATCTCCTAATCACTATCTGCATCCGGATTCGCAATATACAAGCGTCCATGGCTCATCGTCATCGTCCGATCATCCACACTACCCCTCCGACGTAACTCTTCCGGATTCCGCACGCTCTTCTCCCGCGTGATCGTCGCTTTCATGAGGCTGTTACTGGCCAGCCGGGCCGCGTCGGCCGATCCCAGCTCGCCCACGTTGTCAGCGCGCTCACCACTGCTCCCGCTGCCTGCGCTGCGCGTGCCGTCCCGGTTGCCCCCTGGGGGGAAGTAGTCCTTCGAGGTGCCCGACACAGGGGTCTCGCTCGCGTCAGCCGAGGGGTCGGGGGGCGTGTTGCCGGAACTCCACCGCCCGGCCGTGGAACTCGCGCCTGACTGCCGTGAGTAGGTGAGACCTCGCCGGCCACCGCTGCCGATACTGCTCCGTCCGCTGTGGGAGCGCTGGTGGTAGGGGCCCAGCCCGTTCACCCGCCCGCTGTCAGCATCGTCATCAGAATCACCCCCCTCGACCTCGCTTGCGCTCAACCGCATCGGCACGCCGCCGATGCCCCCCACGAGATCTCCCGGGCTGTAGCCGACCAGACCGGCCTTGCCGTGATGTCGGATCTTAGCCGTGACCCGGTTGCCGCTTGACAAGTTGCCGGAGCCGCTCGTGGATGTCCTCCCGGTGCCGGCACCGCCGATGACTTCCATGGTGGCTCGCATCTTCGCGGCTCGCTGGGCCGCCAGCAACCGCGGGTCTTCCTGCTGCGCGCGGTCGCACCAGACAGTGGCCTTCTGTTTCCGCATCAGGGCGACGTAGCTTGGGGGTTGGGCAACGGGGCCGGAGCGGGAGGAGGTCGAGGTGCGGCGGTCCTGCGAGGCCTGGCGGTAGGGGAGGGGACCATTCCCGCTGCTGCCGATGGTAGAGAAAGTGCCCTGCGAGGGCGTGCGACGGGAGGTGTAGGCGTGGACCTGCATGTGTGAGGGCGGAGGGCGCTGCTGGGGCGGATCGAGGCTGGATTGGTAGGTGTTGGAGGAGTTGGCAGAGCGACTGTGCGCGTAGGGGTTGTCGGGATGGAGGGATTGGGAGGCGGCGGAGGGGATGGGTTTTCTCCTGGGGACGCCGGAATTCATGACGGCAGCGAGCAAGTCAAGCAAGACAAGACTGGGATCGTGGGAGGGCGCTTGGCCTGGTTGGTTTGGGGCCGGTGGAGTGGCAAGTGAGACTTGGAAGCCCGGCGACGAGGCGGGATTTTAGGGAATTTTAGAGGCCCTAGACGCGTTAGAGCCTTTAGGGGACTCTCGACGGGCTGTCTCTGGCTTGTTGAAGGGTTGACGTCGACGGAGGACGCGGGAGGCTGGGAGGAATGCGATTGAGAGAGAGGATCGGCCAGGGAATGCGCGGAGAGCGAGGAGGAGGAAGAGGAGGAGGATAGAGTTTGATAGAGAGGGAGAGGGAGAGAGAGGGAGGGAGAGAGGGAGGAGGAGGAGGAGGGAGAAGGGAGGAAAAGAGAGAAGAGAAAAGAGGATGTTGACGAGAGGAGGTTGAAATGGTGGAAGAGAAGAGAAGGACGAGCGAAGAAGACTTCAAGAGCCACCAACGTAAAAGGCGCGAGAGAGAGGGTGAAGGGTGAAGGCGTGAATGTGCGCTCTAATGCGGTATAATCCCGACGCAGCGTATAATCGTGTAAACCGTCGCCTCGTGTAAATATCGGGGCGTTCTTTTCTTTCCAGTTTCGTATCTTCGTAACCGGAGAATCTGCATTTACCCGTATTCTTGGCGCCAGAGAATCCAGGCAGGGCCCCACCCAAGGGCTCCACACCGCCTCCACCGCGGCAGAATGGAAACATAGGTAAGGGTATATCGAAGAGATTGAGAAATAGAGAAATAAATAGAAAATAAATCAAATAAATAAGAAAAAAATACAACAGTCGCTCCCAGATGCAGCTGTTTTCAAATTGGAATGATAAAATTAGAATCATAAAAGATGATCATATATGCGTCAGATTATCCCCGGCGAAATACTACCTATCAACAACCCCACGCGGCTGAAGCGGCGCAGGACCCGGCCCATTCGATGTTCAGCTGAGCAGCATTCAATCAATCAATCAATCAATCAATCCATCAATCATTCCCCCCCGGACCCCCGAACAGTCCAGACTACCTTACCTTACCTTACACCACCGCACTGCAAGCAAGCAAGCAGCCCGTAACGTCGCAGCGGCGTCAACCATCACCGTGCTATGCTGTACAGTAAGGTAAGCAGCCCAACATCCATCCATCCATCCATCCATCCATCTACAGACCACCGCACAATACATCAAGACCCGGGGATCGATCGCCCAGGGCTGAACTCGCATAAGGTATCCTTGTGCAATTCATCCATTCATTCATCCATTCATTCATCCATTCATTCATCCATTCATTCATTCGTTATGCAGATAAACGAGGATGTTGTGTAATCACAATTTATACGATTTATACGATTACGATTACGGTTACGATCTGTGATGCTGGTGGAATTGGAATTTGTGCAAGTTCGCGTTATGCACAGGTTTATGTATGCGCTTGCCGCCCTATCTTAGGTAAGAGAACGGATTATGCATTGGATTGGAGGACCGTAGGCGAGATGAGATAAGATAAGATGATACAGACAGTACAGTCCTGTAATGTCTCCGAGGGAGATTCAGGAGCATCACAACCAACTTGGACACAAGGGAAACCCAATGATGGAATCAATATAACTTGATTGAAGAGATAAGCGAAAGACGATCAATCGTACATGCATCAACAGCCCAGATCAAACAGCCCCGCGGAACACGAAACACGAGTACTACCAACGACAAGAACAATCCAGATCAAGCGAGAGTAAGATACAAAAAGGAACCCCATACGGAACAAGACGCAACCGAGTCCAACAACCAGACAAAACCTCAAAAGTCAAACAGTCTGCTCGACACAATACCTCACGTCGAGATCGATGTCGAGCTATACGTGCGGCTCAACCGATGCCCGTGACCATGGCCCAGCCAGCTCCACGAGGAACTCGACTTGCGTAGGTAGTTAGCATGTTTCCTGCCCGCCACGGCCACGAACTCGAAGCTCGCCGGGCGCGCCCACACGCCCAGCTGGTCCGCGCCTTTGGCCTGCCAGCTCGCCACGCTCTGCGGCGCTGCTCGCTTCCAGCTCTCCTCCGACCCGAACACGTGCGCCAGCTGCTGGTACAGATCCACGTACACCTGTGGCTCCTTGTCCCAGGCCCCCAGGCGCTGGTAGGTGCGTTGCAGGAGAGCCAGGTGGTGCACGGCCACTTGGGAGGCTTCGGCTTGGGGCAGCTCGTCGCCCTTGTCCGAGACGGTGTCGCGGAGCACGTCTTCGTGCACTTGCATAGCGCGGCGGTGGTTGCCGGCTGCGGTGTAGAAGGAGGAGAGGAGTGCTTGCATCTCGAGAGTCGTAGCGTCAAGCGCGCCCCAAACGCGGCGGAGGTTGTAGCACATGTCCTCGCAGAGGTGGATGGCGCGGTCGTGCTGGCCGCGGGCGAACTGTGTCTCCACGAGGCGGCGGCCGATGTTGACGACCATGGAGGCCGACCAGGATGGCTGGGAAGCGCGTGCGTTCCAAAGCGCTGTGAGAACCCACTGTGTTGGTGATCGTTAGCATGTTTCCTTGCGGCGTCAGGGTCAATATTACTTACCTCCAGGTCATCTAAGTTTTGCTGGTCGCCAAGCAACCCGCTGACTTGGTTCAGCTGGTCGATCGGCACCTCGGTGATGCTGATGTTAGACGAGCGGACCGTCTTCAGGATCTGCTTCGTGATAGTTGTCGAGAGCTCGAACATGGCGGCCCGGAGCTTCTCATCTGGAGATCTCGGCTTCCCACGACCGGCCAGGGCGAGAGCAAGCTTGAGCCCGAACTCGATCGTGACGAGATTGCTGTACCCTCCTTGGAACTGCTGCAAGCGGTCGACCAAGAATGCAAGGTCCAATGCTTCTTGGAACTTGGCTTTGTCGATGTATCCACCGACGGTGAGAGTCGCGGTCTTCAGGATCGAGACATCCGGCTCCACAGTGTGGATCTCGACAATCACGAGCTGCAGGAAGTCGCGGAGGACGGACTTGTTGATTGACTTTGGAGCATTCAAATTGGTTGAGAAGTACTCGAGGAGTTCTTCATGAACTCGGGTTGTGCCAGCGTCATCCTGGATGTCCTTGGTAAACTGCAGGAGGCGTGACCCGTAGACCAATGTTGTCAAGAAAGGGGCCTTTTGTGACAGTGATCGATGGTATGCTTCGTACATGAAGACCTCATTGATCAAGTCGGCGACGGCAGAAGAATAGAATTCCCTCTTGCCAGCCAAGGTCACACTAAAAGCAACGAGGAAGGCCCAGGTTCGCGGATCCAGCTTTGCGCCGGGTGCCAGGTTCAGCGTCTTACTGATACTAGAATGACCAAAGACCGTCTGGCTGCGGAGCTGCACCAGGAGCTGCTCAGCCTCGGTTTTCAGACCCGATTTTAGATAGATCTCGGCAATCTTCGATCCGGAGTCAGCCAGTCTCTGAGAGCTGTTCTCGCTCTTTAGGATCTCGAAGATAGAGAGTTCAAGAGTCTGGTTAGCCTTGGTCGTCGATTCCTTGTTTCCTTGCTTTGCGTGAGCAATAGCGAGGAGGCTCAACCACCCCAAGGTCTCTCGGTGAGCGTGTCCATTCTTGGTATGATGAGTCTGGAACTCTTCAGAGTAAAGAACGATCGCTCTTGGAGAAGTCGACAGCTTGGAGATCGAGTAGAGATGCGGGAGTCGCTTTCTAGCAGCCAGGATTGCCGCCAGAGTTTCCTCGGAGATCTTCCCCTTCGAAACCTCTCGCGATTTTTGGTCTGCTTCCTCATACATCGCAATGGCTTCTTCGCGATGCTCTTCCTTCTCTTCATCAATCTCAGCGAGCTGCAAAGTTGCCTTCAGCGTGGTTTCATAGCCGATACCATAGAATCGGACAAGAGCCTTGCGATAATCAACAGCCAGCTGGCGGATAGTTGGATAGTCGCTCTTGGTCTCCTGTTTCGTGATGCGGGCATACTTCTGGTAAAGCTCTTCGGCGAACTCGGCCTTGAGATCATATTCCTTGCCATGCTTGACGAACATCTGCCAGAGAGAGGAGTATACCTTCCTGGCATTTGCATATTGAAGTTGCTGCTCATAGATGGTGCTGAGGGCCAGTGCCGCCCGGATTGCATCCCGGTGGCAGACATCCGAACCCTGGGAGAGGTTTGTGTGGATTTCCTGGTATGCAAACTGTGCATTCTTGAGGTCATTCAACTGCATGGAGACGTCTGCCAGCGTGTACAGTGTGTTGATAGTCAACGTGTTAGTCTTGCCATGTCGTTTCTGAATCTCAAAGTACAGATCTCTGTAGATAGTCACAGTCTTCTGGAGCATCGAGTGACTCTCATAGAAGTCTATGAGCGTCTTCGACGTCGAGAGTAGAAGCTCATCCGGCGAGTTAGGAGTGGCCTTTACCGCGTAGAAGATCCGAAGGTATGTCTTTTCGGCAGACTCAATCTGGCGAAGCTTGAAGTAAGAAAATGCCAAGCGGTTAATGAGCTCGATAATCTCTGTGGTGTACGTTGTTGGCAACGGGGTGTCGAGAGAATCGCTGGTGAACCCTGGCCATAACCTCCCAATGGTGATCGTGCTGGCTTTGACGACCTCGCTCCACTGCTTTTGTTGATAGTAAGTCTCAATCAATGTCACAGCCGTCTTCACAGTTGTGGTGTCGACTGTCTTGGTGGTCGATGTCACGATGGTGGTCTCGAAGATTTCTCTCAGAGTTGTCACTTCGTAAGTTGTCTCGGTGGTGGTTTCTCTTGTGATCTGTGTAAGAGAAGTGGAAACAGATGCAGCTTCGGCCGATGACTGCTTTCCACTTTTCACGTAGTAGGCCCAAAGCTTGGCAAAGATCGAGGACGCCACCTCAACAGCCCCGAGCTTCTGCAACTGATCACCAATTGTCTTCGTGCGAGTAATGACTGTTGTTGATTGGGTGTCTTCATGCTCAAGATCAATCCAGATGGCGCGAAGGATGTTTTCGGCCTCCCGGGTACGCTTTTGCTGCTTCAGCAGTTCCACATAGCGAAGCACGACATCGATCTTGGTCTCCTGAACCGTCTTATCTTTCTGGAATTTGACACTGGTCAGACTCTGCCACAGGCTGACCAAGATCTCTTCCAATCTGTGGGTGTCCTTCTGCTTTTCGTAGATATCGATCATGGACCAGGTTAACTCGAGACGCTTCGAATCCGTCACACTCAAGCTGCGAATGGACTCCTCATAGTTCTTCTTTGTGATCTCATAGATCTCCTCGCTCTTGGTGCTCTTTTGAACGGTAGTAGTCCATGTCTGGTACGATCGGATAGTCTCCTGCGCGCTGCGTCCGTAGATACGCACGTTCAGTTCGTAGATCTCTCGTTGATAGTGGGTGGCTTTCTCGGTCTCACCAATGGTGATGTAGACGGTGGCCAGCAACTCCAAGTAGACAATGATCTCACGCTCCGAAACCTTGGTCTCCCGCTGAATAGTGATGATATATTGCAACAGCTCGATTCGGTGAGTGGTGATGTCGGTCTTCTTGGTTGTCGTGATGGAAGAGGTGATCTCGATGTACTTGTGAGCACATGTGGTCGCAATGTTCGTCAGTCTGAGTGTCGTTGCCAATTGCCACGCCTCGTAGTAGTATTCATTGACCTCCGCTGGTTTAAGAACCACCTGCTTCGTTCGGGCAATGTTCAAAAGGTTCTGGAGAACAGCCTCGGAAGAAGCGCCGAGGACTAGGCGGCGGACGGATAGGGTAAGGAGGTAGTGGTCAATGGCCTCATTGAGGGAGAACTGGAACTGATAACAAGAACCTTCAATCACGGGCAGTAAGGTAGTATCCGCGAAGCACGTTTTGAAACCAGCCGTGATCTTGTGCTGGACAGTGGGTTCATGCATTGGCGACGCCTGGAAATGCGTTGACCAGTACCGGGCCGAGTATTGCAGAAGCTCGTATGAACGGAAGAGCTCATCCAGTTCATAATGATTCAATGGCTCCAGAGTTGGCTGCGCAGGACGTGTCAAGGCTATATTCGGTCAGCGCGAAGTACAGATTTGGCTAACTTTGAAGAGACTTACTGATCTTTACATAGGCCAGAGAGCGAATTGTTAAGTCGTAATGAGCTTCCTGGATGTTGAAAGGGAAAGGACCCGTGTTCTTGAAGTCAGTGACTGACATCGCACGCTGGTAAAGGTTCTCTTTGATGGTAGAGTGTCGGAATCGTACAAAGCCATCTCGGACTTCGACAAAAGGACCAAGGCTTTCAGCGACGAAATCTTCAACTCTAGTCGGGCGAGGGGCACGAGTGCAGGTTGAGGTGTCGATTTCCATTAACTGACGCACCTCGCCAACTAGCAGTGGTCTTTCGGCGGCAAGAAGCCAAGCCAGGATCGACTTTGTATCACGGTGATGCAAGTCAGTTGATTTAATGGAGAGCTCGAGAAGCTCGGGGAGGGTCTTCGGCAGACCTTCGGCCTTCTTTAGAATGGTTTCTGGAGACTTCTCGGCCTTAAGAATCTCAATGGATTGAAGGAGCCATCCAAAAGAACCAGTTGACCCCTGTACGAGCGTCGAGGTGAGCGTCGCGCGATCTTTCTGACTCAGGAAGTCAAACGACTGGACCGTAGACAATTCGGATTCTGCAACGTAGTGGATATCCTGGTTGACATGCTCGGCCTGGATGGAGAAATGGGAGTAGTTCTGAGGAACGGCCGAGGAAAATGGCCGGGAAAAGACGATACATTTCGTCTTGCTATGCTTGGAGGCCAGCGAGTGTAGTCGTGCCAGCAATTTCAAGCTACTAGCTTCTCCACCCTTTAGGCTATCAACACCGTCAACTACAATGGTCTGATTCCGATCACTGCGTAGACCACCCTCAAGGGCTTTCCATAGTGCATCCTCAACAAGGGAGCTCGAAGTGCCTTTGACGGAAAGTTCGTATGCGGATGCCAATGACTTGTAGAGCCCATTGTCGCCTACGTTCAGTTGGAGAGTTTGAAGAAGAAGACCCTTTACAACACTCAAGGACGTATGTTCAGTCTTCAAGTCGGGGTCTATCAGAAGGTTAGTATTCCCGTTGCGTACAGGTTTTTGCCGTACCCACCAATTGTGTAAGTCATGACTTCTGAAGCTCGTCGGCCAGTCAAGGTCTGAAGCCGCTCAACTACCCATTCCGATAAGAATGTTTTTCCTGTAGCTGGTTGCCCAGTCACGAGGAGCAATTCCTTTCCGCTTTGTGTGAAATCCGTCAGATGTCGGTAGAACCATTCACAGGTGAAATCCGCGCGCGGCCTTCTGATGAATCGGGTTACGGCCAGAGTTCGAATGACTGTGTCATGGGGCATTAAGAATTCCCGAACGAGGTCAACCGACACGTCTTAATATCATTAGTATATCATGGTACAATGCGGCCACAGGTTCGAGATATGATGTACTTACCACCAGGCTTCGCTAAGCTTTGAAGGCGTGTCGCCCACACGGTGTCTGTAAAATGATCACCATGGTAGAAGAAGGTGTTGATCGTCTTGCCAAAAAGCTCGTCGAAGCTACGGGTACTGAATGAGACATCTATTATCTCGCATTAGCACCCTTAGCTAGAAATCTTCAGGAGTACTAACGTAGCTGCTTTCTGGTGTAATTAATGCTAATGCCAGTAACCAGCTTCACGAGGTCTGAGAAGCATGCAGCCATGATAAACTGCAGCTCCTCGGAAGAGTGCAAGAGCTCATGATGACGAAGGAAGAATCCGAGAGTGAGGCCACAGCTGTAGAACACCCCGAATGTTTTTTCCAAGACTGAAATGTATTTTGGACCAAGCTTTCCAAATAGTCAGCGGGGGCATACAAACAGGAGGGAAACAAAATACCTCAATTAAGGAGAGACAGCTTGCCCAAATTATGTGTGCTGCTTCCTCAGCATACTCCGCAAACTGAGATACCTCTTCGAAGTATCCATATACCTGGGCAGCAAAGAACTCAGCCCATTTGAGAATTTTGTCCCATCGACCGCTGTGATGTGGCATCTGTCGAAGTCGGATTCCGGCAATTGAATCAAAGAAAACTTCTACTGATTCACAGCTGCTGAAGAATTGTTGCGCAGATGATCCGAGCTCGGCACGGTATATAGCGACGGCTCGTTGTGTAGCATCTCGAAGTGTAGTGAGCTTGCGGGAGCTTCCTCCTTGCTTGCCATTGTTTCCGTCTACCTGCACTCCGTCTATCTGGACCTGCGGGGCTTGTTTGGCCCCGTTGGACTGGGAAGGCGACGGAGAGGGTGACACTACACCGTTCTTTTGTGTCGCTGAAGGACTCATTGTAGTATGTTGTGGATTGTTGGAGGATGATGGTGTTGAGATTATATTTTTCGGATTGGTAGCGTTGATATTCTTGGCCTCAGCTTCGTTTTTGGGGTCTGTGATATTTGAGCATTGCTAAGCTTGAAAGACACTGTATGCCCTTGGTATGAAACTCACATTTCACTGAGTTCAGTCCTCGAAAACCTAACATGCTAAGCAAAGGACTTGTTATAGAGAGGAAGTTCAGAGATTCAAAGTCTCTGGGAGGGCGACAGACATCACAGGTAAGTAAGGTATAAGGTCCTGAAAGAAGATAGCACAGAACTCTTTATAAGAGAATAACGTCATGAATAGCTCTGTTTCCCATAACTTCCCATCAACCGGTAACCATACCCCCAAAGAGGAGATTGATGTTCCATGGTTTGAAAGCACTGCAACCCCCAGCTTTACGAACCCTACCTTACTGCATGACCAATGATGAAAATCGCCGTTATTGAGCCTAGAGCCGGCGTCTCCTGGTATCGCATACTACGGCATGGAAGTAAGGGAAATGTCTCACTGGTGACGGTACGATGCTCGACCCAATTTGATGGCACGTCTGCACCGTAGCTGCAGCCCAGATGGGCAACTCCCCGACGATGCATGAGAGCACTTGTGAGACGGAGGGTACAAGAGAGCTCCAGTTCCCAAGATATTCAACAGACCAGGGTAAACCAGGGCTTCTCAGAGGTTCATCAAACCAAGGATTGCCTCACTATAGAGTCATAGTGCTCTTCTGTCTATGGAGCAACTTGCTCCCTTGGGATTCCGACGCCTAGATCGGGAAGTTCCAAGTGAAATTTCAAATCATGTTCGCCCAGAGATTCTTGAATGGAGGAGAGGTGCGATGTCACACAAGCCAACGAATGGGAATCGCGAATCACGAGATAGAGCTTGAGGTTGCCCTGAAGCTGCCCACGTACTCCGATAGAGCATGTCAATCCCCAAGTCAGGAATCTGTGGTTCTGATGTGATGGCGCCCGCGCGCCACCGGCAGAACCGGGCTGCTGAAACATGCATGTTGAGACCATTGCGGGTAGATTCCCACGCCGCTGGTTATTCTGTGGACTGAGGGGCTTGCCGTTGGAAAGCTGAAGTTGGACGTGGATATTCTGAGTCGTGAGTGGATAGGAGGCGAGGAGGCGAGGAGGGGAGGAGGCGAGGAGAGACTGGGAACCGAAGCTCCACGACGTTCCACTGTACGACGCGTACAGCTCTGTAGCGCCTCTTTGGCTTTCTGATATGGGATTTGCTAAATCCAGTCGCCAGTTTTCTCATCCGTCGGCTATACCCGTTATATTTACCGACGCGGCAAAAGGGTAAGATACCTAGGGAGGTTGGGCGATATGCTTTGTAACTAGATGTTACCCAGGATAAGCACCTTGTTTATCCCCCCTTTTTTTTCTCCCGTCCCGTCCTCCCGAATAGGTCCCTCCACCACAGCCCCCGCAGCATAACAGCAATATAATCTCTATATCACTGTGACAGGGGGTTTCTGGTTCTTTGGGTGCATCTTAACCGCAAGTGCCCGCGGGCTTGGATAGCGAGGTAGAGCTAGAAGGGCCTTTGAAAGCAAGGAGCCGTAGCGTATAGGCATTTCCGGGTCAAATCTTAACAATGATTGTCCTGCCAATATGATCAATCAAAAACACAGCGAGCAGAAACGGGTTTTGACGACATGTTGTATCACCATCGCATCGCACCGTTCCCTTGCGGAGTAGAGTACGGGCCCTACGGGGCTGTCCCAAGCCGGCGCAGTCTAGAACTAAGGCATGTAAACACGTAGATTTCTCCTCTGTAGGGATGATCGACAGAAAGGTTAGAGACGTTAGTCACGCAGCAAGCGTCCTTGGACGAGAATCATGTCCCCGCACCCGCACTGCCATATCATTCGTGCCTTTGTCCGAAGAATAGTCAACCCCGTATCACTGGCCAATCGGACAGGGCAGAGGCCAATCATGCACCGAGTACATGTTCCATGAGAGCAGAGAGACCGCATTGCTTTCAGCCGCCTCCAGGACGCCGATCGAAACTGATTCCAGTACCCTATGATGCAGCCAGGATGCGGCTACCAACCAAATGATATCAGCGTCTTGATTTCCCCATGGTGAAAGGGGAAGAACAGAGGAGGAGAAAGAAAAGCCTAGGGCCATACCGAAGGGAGATCTCCACGCCCTTGGTTCCTCTCGGAAGCCCGCCCTTGGTTCCTCTCGGAAGCCCACAGCCGTCGTCATTCTTGTCGAAATACAGTTTCCATGCCTTCTCATGCGGTACCCAAATTGCCAGGAACCCTTCCCATCCCTCCAAGGTGACATTGTTCTCGTCGTCTGTCCAATCCCAGGGCCCGACAATATGCCCCTCGGACTCAGCCTTGCCACCGTATCTAACCTCAAAGGTCTTGGAATCGACAAAGACCCAGCGTAGCAGCGGTGGGTCTTGACTGACGGTCGATACGAGGCCAGACATGTTGCTGGGCGCGAACATGGGATGGGGGTGGTAGACGCCAGTGAACGGATGGGAGTCCTTTCTGGGGTTTTTCTCCAGATACATCTTTATTGGGCGCATCAGGTCAGCTCATGTGCAGAAAGCCACCTCGGCTCGGGATTCGCCCTACCAGCCCGTCGCGAAGAACGACCTTCGCCCCATGGATTTGCTCTCTGTCTCTCCCAGAAGCCGCTGTCAGCTCACAAAGGGAAATGAGGTGGCTCCTCTGCTTTCGATTGGCGTCGCGCCGCTTTTGCTCGTGGTCTTGCGTGCCTTTGGTGGCTTCGTTTACCCCGATGATGGTAGGGACCGCGGTCGCCAGAGCCAGAATTCCCAGCACCATCTCTGGAAGAAGGGAGGATTTGCAGATGACGTGGAAGATTAACTCTGTTTGACTTCAAGGACAAGTGAAATTGTTGGTGCATGTAAGACTGCAAGTGCAGATATCCTTCGAGATACTGATAGCTTCATATTCATGTCCTGTACAACCACGGCGCAGTGCTTGAGCCTTGAGCACCATATCCCAGGTGACGGCAGTCACTAGCCATAAAGGGTGCAGAACAGACCTGTACATGGGATCTTCAACACTAGAGACGAGCGTCTCTGGCTACCTTACCTGATGCAAAGATTTGAGAAAGTCCTTCAAGCACGTCATGGCAAATCACTTCCATCAGACCGGTGCAGTTGTCCTATAATAGAGTTTCCCGTATCTTAGGACCAAAGTACCGTGTGCTAAACGGGAGATATGCACCGGGAAAGCAGCCGATGGAGGGGCATGACGACCTATGATACAGAGAATGTAGTTCAACTTGTTCAAGCTCCCTACTCTACTTTGCAGCCAAGTAGTTGAAGGATGGAGAGCATTCATGACCACCCGAGAATCCTGACTGTCGCTCCACTAAAAGAGAAGTGATATTCGTTCATGCAATTATCACTGGCCTTGTGAAGTTGTGGATCGCTCTGTGGATCTTAGAGCGTGATGAGACCCCCCGGACCCACTAAGCAGTTGGGTCTTCACCAGAGGAGAGATATCATTCGGCCATGCACTTCAAAGTTCTTACCACCAATTCTTCTGGATCTTCATGCAGGATCATACGGAGTACAGCCCCCGCTGAGGTGGCGGCGTATCTTTTGAATGGTACCTGTATGATCTTATCATGCTTTAGTCGTTAAGCCCAGAGGCTGTTAAACGGGGGTGAGCATTGAGCCAAAGCAATATACAGGATGAATCGATGCTCCTGGGCATAATTTATGAACCCAGAAAAGGCCCTGCTATAACTCATATTGCTTCCCTCATTCATATGCACTATAGCTCTCACCCTGTCTCTATTCGACCCGAAACGCAGCCTCTCTGACGACCTCTACCTCTTCCTTTGGTCATTCAGACTTGCTTCTAGACCACCTAAAGAAGAAGGAACCATAGAACTGCCTCCTGTCAAGCAAGAAGAACCCAAGGCAGAGATCTATACTCCACTGCCCCCTCCGAAAATGTCTGAAAACGAGTACGTTGCATTGCATTTACTCTTCCATCCAAAGCTCACTATCTAACATCCTCCCAGCCCAACCACTGTTCTTGATAACGACAACCAGAGCGACACCGGCTCCGTCGAAGACGTCGAGCCCACGGGAACTCTCGGCGGTCGCAAAGGTAGAGGTGGCAAAGGCGTGATCCCTAAGAAAGAAGCGAAAGAGCTCATCGGCGAGGCTGGCAAGGCCGGGGGCCGCGAAGCCACTAAAGCCAACGAGAAAGAACCCAGCTTGAAGATCAACATTGAGTTGGATTTAAACGTGCATGTTGAGCTGGACGCGCATTTGGAAGGATGGATCAAAATTGGTTTGTTGTGAGGGTTGGGCGGGTATGGAGATCGAGGCTCATGTTTCGTGTAGGGCTGGATTCCTGATGAGTTTATACATGAGTTGTTATTTTTCCCGGAAGGGAGGGGCGTAGCTGGATGACTTAAATACGTTTTCATGACTGGTGTATGTGTCGATATTCCCAGTGTGATGTATATTTGCATTGCCTCCATATGTTATCCGATTGCTTTGCATCTCTATCTCTATTCCTATCCTGAGCGAATCGCCACGTCAAGCGCGTTCTTCCTCCCCTATCCCAGCTTATGGACGCATTGGAAAATTTCAGCTTTCTATGTCCATGCACTGCCAGCAGGTAAGTCATTGCAACGCTTTTTCACCTATCATCGAATCTGGAGAGAGACTGGAATCAATCCAACTTCCTACCTTGAGAACTGCATCTGTGATTTTAAGCTCAGAGTCAAGCCATGGGATATTTTCCCACCTTGGAGACCAAGTTTTGTGCTCCAAATTCGTGGAGACAGCAAAAGTGAACCATCATTCCGAATAAGCGTGCCCCGTTATTTAGGTTAGAGGCAAGTATGACTCCGATGTGTGGAACAGAGGCTTTGGGATATACTTAGTGACTTCTTATTCTATTAAATGCCCTTATAGATCATCGTCATGTTATAATAGCGTAGGGTTAAATCGGCCGCAAGTCAAGAGGTAGTTGTCTTCTTTTTTTCTTTGTCAAGCCCAGAAAAAGTAAGTTTATATTTTCAAGAACCAATTCTTCTTTCCCTTCAGCACATGGAATTGTGTCTTTACTCAGCAAGTCCCGTCAGAAGGAGGGCTATCCAACATACTTCGAAATAAAACTGGAGGTCAGTGAAAACTGCCTCCTACTTCTCTATTGCCGCGTTCGCCGTTTGCCTGTTAGAGCAGTTTCGGTTTTAGTATCACCGCGAAAATACTCAAAGATTGGAAGTTAAGAGACTAGGAGAATGAAGAAGAGGAATCGAGTCGGTACTTAGAGAGAAGTTACCATAGATTAGCTCTCTCAAGTTGACTATTTTCAGTACCTTACTTTGATATTATACCCCACACTCCGGAGTGTATGGAGTAAGTGTGGAGTAAGTGCAGTGGAGTATTCTCCAGTCTTAGGTGCCGCTAGCTTATCAAGCGAGAGTTGATACAGGAAATTCTCCGATGTACGGAATACATTAGGTACGCACCAAGCACAAATGGGCAAAGACGAGCGACAACATACATGCATTTCAACGTAATCCTGGGTCTTCCAACCTTCTTTTGCAAACCCACGATTACCTTACTATGGACGATTGTCAATGTGCCGGGTCGTTTGATCGGCCGCCTTGCTCCACTATTAATACACGTTGGCTCAACTTCAAAACACATGAGGACTTGTCAGGGCTCATCTTCAACCGAGCATCGGCATCGAGACTCCTCGGGCTTGAGAAAGACCAACAAACGGATATACCAGGGCCGTATAAGCAATTCACTCTCTTTTCTAAATTACCTTTCGAGCTCCGCCTCAAGGTCTGGGGTTTCGCGCTCTCAGTACCGCGTCTCATAGTGGTATCTTATACGTCGGTGACAGGAGAGGACGACCGACGTGTATTTGTTGATACTCCACCATTGCCATCATGTCTTTCAGCCTGCCAAGAATCACGCGCAGAGGCACTGAAAACCTACGAAAAATGCACAATTACGAGTGTTCCAGGCTCCCCAACGACATATATCAACTTTGCCAATGATCAGTTTCTACTTGGCGGGCCCGACTCAGACCTGGATATGGATTATCTGATGTCTATCACTGCACCTGGAAATTCTCACAAGGTCCGTTTTCTACATGTATCTCGTGGCTGCTGGAAAGGGTTCGCGTTATGGACGCATCTACGAGAACTCTTTACGGGCCTCGAGGAGCTGACGATCAGTTTCCCGAATGGCGCTGCCTTGCTTCCTTATACTCACGAGTGCTGGTACGGTGCGTTGAGCCGCTCTAATAAAGAAATTGTGGTGAGGAGCGAGCTTTATGAGATCGAGGACGAGAACGAGGAGGTTCGGGTATGGCAGCCTTCATTTAGGCTACACATAGTTCATTATGACAGCCCCCCTATAAAGGGCAAGTATTAGCTGGAATCCTGAGCATTGAATGCCAAGAACTTAAGGTGGGCGAGGTGTGCAGAGCTCTCATCTCATATGTTGGAACTATATTTGTTCTCATAGTGCCTGAAACGCCTCCAGGAAACGCTTCCATGGTGTCTGTACAGACAGTCCTTTTCAATGTCTCACCTTTCTGATGACCCGGTAGGACATCCCATTATTGAGTTTTATATCACGATGATTGACTCAAGATATACAGATGCAACTATCAACGAGAGAACTCTTTGGAGCCTACCACCTATTCCAAGGCCGCTGGCAATATGTAAATATCTAGCATCTGGAACATCCATCTAGATAGTCGGAAACTCAGGATGCTGATCTGCTCAGGGGTCAACGGAGATCAGCCGTCACCTCAGATATCCAAGAACAAACCAGACATATGATACTTTCTACGCAGTATTACAGTGCTTCCCCAATGCAGAAAAGGTTTCGAAGGCTAGATACCCTTGCCATCCGGCGCATACGAAGAAACAAGGAACTGTGAGAGAAAACCTGAACTCCTCCTCCAAGGTCGGAAGGTTCCGGACCGAATAGCCCAGCTGACTAGGCTATCTACATCCCAAGGTTTCTCTTGCGTGGAGCGAAGGGGGATACGAACGGAAACAGGGCATTACGACGCTTTTGGGAAACTCGGATAGACTTCATGGATGGTGGGATCTGAGAGTAAGAAGTACGAACAATGCGTGAAGTAGACCAACGACCCTTAATACAACAAGACGTGTTTGCGAGCTTGATGTTGGAAACTCGGTCGTGGAAGTCGAATTCCCCAGGGGGTTGCCGGGGGGAGAGTTCCAAACATAGTCAAGATCTCATATATCATTTTACACAAATTTTGATATAACGCAGTCATAACTGCCCACATGGTGACCAACGGCGGATACAAACATTTGACTACCCGAGCGAGATATCTTTGATGAGAAACTCCCGCAGGCTGCTACGACATGATGGTACGATCGGAGCAAAGCGTATTCAAATGTAACGAGAGGAACAAACTCACGGAGGGGTAAGTTGGTTGAAAAGCAACTGAACTCAGGGAAAGCGAAAACAAGCGACGTCTTTACCTGCGGAGCGTATTTACTACTGAGGGACACTGTGTAAGTTTCACATGATTCGATGCAGACTTTGCGCGGATCTCAGACCATTGATACTTGCAGTACTCTTGCAGCGGCGTCAGTAGCACCCGGCGGCATCTCCGGATCCTACGAGGACCAACCGGAAACCTCGGGATGCGAGAATCACTGCATTTGCAGTAAGCACCCCAATATCTTATCACTGGATAGAAGATCGTAAGGTAGATAGCTGCTCACTAATAAACAGCAATAATAGCTCCTGGCATCTCCATGCTCATGATGGCGGGATCGGAGTACGGAGTGAGAGCCTGAGAAGTCTGGAACGGAAAAACAATGATGCGGGGAAATGTCTGCTCTTCTGCCCTATTGCCGCAACAGGGCTAGCCCCATTGCTGCGCCACAAGGTACAAGGAAGAAACGCCACACGGATGACGCCCCGTTCCTTGGATTTCGTCATAGAAGGGCCTGGCCGAGGCACCGCATTGGCGCATTGTTGATTCAAACGTTTTCTTTTTTTTATTCCTTTTTCCCTCCCTTTTCTTCTCTATATTTCCTCTGTTACTTTTCTCACTCTCCATTCCTCTCTTTGACTTGTCACTGCATCTCTCAGGCCCTTTGCAACTTTGGTATCCGGGATTCTTGATCGCGCCGCAATTACACCAGGACAGGATGCCCTCCTACTTCTCCCGTCTCAACCCTGTGCCGACCTTCCCCTCCTACACGGGGCCTTACAAAGTAGGGACCGTTGATGTCGAAATCCCCGTCGCCGAACTCGAATCTCCTTCTCCCGCTCCCGACGACTCCATCTCGACCGTCCAATACCGCGTCTTTTACCCATGCGAACCAGATGCCAAAGGAAAGACGGCGACTTGGCTTCCAGCGCCGCAGCGGGGTTATGTCTCTGCGTATACACGGTTCCTGGGCGCTGGCTCTTTGCTGGCAGAGCTAATCTCGTACGTATAGTGAGTTCTGGAGGAGAGGAGGATCCCATTGCTAACATTATGGCGCAACAGATACTTCCCTCGTCTCCTCCATTACATTTCAATTCCCGTCCTTAAGAATGCCCCTCTCCTACCACCCACCACTTCAACTAATCGCTGGCCGTTGATGATATTTTCGCACGGTCTTGGGGGATCAAGAAACGCATATTCATACCTCGTGGGCTCAATTGCATCTCACGGCGTCATTGTCATTGCCCCTGAGCACCGCGATGGCTCTACACCAATATCCTATATTCGAGAAGTCCCATCCACAAATTCTTCAGAAGAGAAATCATTGCCAAACAAAGCCAAACGGACGGTGAACTACCACCGTCTGTCCCACACACCCACTCCTGAAGTAGAGGCAGGACGGAACGCGCAATTGAAGATCCGCCTTTGGGAACTCGGCCTAATCCATGATTCGATCCTGAAGATCGACATCGGTAAACATATAACAAATCTTAACTCATCTTCTGTCTCCCTCGCAATGTTCAAAGATCAGATGAACGTGCATGAACCGGGAAAAATCACCTTCGCAGGCCACTCCTTTGGCGCTGCTACTGTCACACAATTCGTGAAGAGTACTTTCTACTCCCCCGATAACTCAAATGTCCCGGAAGGACATGAGACGCTCTTCACGCCCTCTTCGCGCTCGCCAATTGTTCAGCAAATTACGCCAAACACTCCGGTTATATTACTAGATGTCTGGTGTCTCCCCCTCCGCGCTGCGACCACAAGGTGGTTATGGGATAAACCCTTCCCTTGTTATACAGAAAATGGGCCAGGGGGGAAGGCGCTGTTAGCGGTAGAAAGCCAGGCATTTTATAAATGGCATGTGCACTTGAAAGCCACGAAACGTGTTCTGTCGCCCAATCCAGCTTCCGACGAATATAACTATCAGCGGGGAGACGGAACTGAATGGGCCAAGCCTAACTTCTACTACGCTTCAACCTCGGCGCATCTGAGCCAGTCTGATTTCGGTGTCCTCTTCCCCTGGATCACGCGGAAATTCCTAGCGATCGAGGAGCCGGAGAGGATCATGAAGTTGAATATCCGGGCCGTCCTGCAACTTCTTAGATCCCAGGATATCGAGGTTAGCCAAACGAGCGCAGAGGATATGGAATTGGATCCTGAGACCGGCGTTGACACGAAAGATGATACCCTTATATTCGGAACGAAGGGGGAAATCAGGGGGTGGAATTGGCTCAGTACGGATGTTCATGAGGTTGAGGATGATGAACCGGAAGCCACCACCAAGATAGAGAACCAGGAACACATGAAAGAACCGACTGACGCCGTCATTGGGAACGAGTTGATGAAGCAGAAGGAGGGCACAACCGAGCGGCTGTAAGCGCAGCGGAAGAAGTTTCTTCAAGAGGCAGCCAGACGGGAGCTGATGCTCCTACTACGCTATCATGATGTTACGAAACGTGTTTATGGGAAGGAATTATGTTTTACTTTGGTCGTTGCTCGCATACCCGCGTCGTTTATGGAGTTTGCCATTTTAGAGTCTGGGAATCATAGGAATAGACACGGGGATATGGAAAAGGAGCGGTTTAGGGGTGAAGCTTGAGAATTAAAGCGGGTTTAATAATCTCTCATTTACTCTGCACATAAAGATCTATGTTCTACTCTTTACAGAAATCTAAGGGCTCTTTAGTGGCTTATTTGTATGTTTTAGGGTTATTGTAGTAGCTTTCAACAACCCTGTCCCTAACTCTTATGGACCTACTGGTTTCCGTGTAGCCTACTAACTAGTCAGTCTAGTCTGAATAAGTAATAGTACTCACTTAAGCTATAGGCTTATAAGTTGAAAAAGAGCGAGGACCTTATAATCAAGTTAAAGATTTTAAAAATCCAATTCTTTGAACTCTTTTACCCCCCTTTTCTATTTGCGCCTTACTATCCCTTATTTACCTATCGCCCTTGTTCTTATCCTTCTCCTACTTGTCACTTTTTTATTAGTTTCTTCACCCTGAGCCCTTCCTCTCAGCTAAGTCCCATCTGTTCTTCTTGTAATATGTCCGCGTCCTCTCGAACATCAATACTGCGCTTCGCAAAACGCTTGTGGTACTCGATAACCTTATCTTCATATGACCCCATAGTATCTCCGAGGGCAGTCCCAAGAACCGGAGTAAGCTCGCGAAACTCAAAGATAGGGGCAGGTTTACTCGTTCCCAGGACTGTTTCCATCTTGCTACCGAAACTTCCAATCTGGCCGTGCCGCATTGTCTTGTCCATAAGCTTCACGAGATCCATTTGGGTAAGTGTCTTCTTGGTCGCCTTGTCGTACCCTTGCACGTAGTTCAGAAACTTCTCCACTTCCAAAGTTCCAGTCTTGAGATCTTCTGCTTTGCCGATCCAGTTGTCGTTGATTTTGGTTACTGTTCCGGGCTTCCATTTGAATGTTTGTTTAGCAAGCTTGGGACCTGCTCCAGACACTTTCTCGACAATATCATACAAGGATATCTTCTTGTCGGAAAGTTGGTTCTTCAGCTTCGGTTCGATAAACTGGGTGTACTGAGCAACAAAGTCGGTGCGAGGCATGATCGGAAGCAAACGCTTTGGACCTTCTTTGGGGTCACCGAAGTCGGCCAGAATACAATAAGATGTCAGGAGGGAGAAATAGCCAAGAAACTCGTCAGTAATGTCATTTGCTTTGATCTTGGAGAAAGACTTGAAATCATTCTTTGTGAGTATCTTGATCTTGCTCCCATACAGCGCCCCCATACTAGCTAGCGGATTATGGGTTTTGCTTTTCGTGTCGCTGAGAATCTCCTGAACAGCTCCCAAGGGCATCGCAGTCGTTACTTGTGGGCCGAAGGGAAATTTGGAAAGGTCCACTGGCACATTCTTTGGCCATTTGACTGACCATGGACCAAGGTTGTCAAAGCCTTTAATAGTAACTTTGCAGTCTTTGCCTGCGCATGGCGCCCAGCTTTCCTGTAGGAGAAGACGAATCAGCAATAAAGGCAATAGGAGGAGTAACAAGAGGGTTGAGTAAGAATACAAAGAATTTGAAAATCTCGTCTCCGATGCCTTTCATCTTATGGTCTCCAACTTTATTCTTGAGACCATCGACAACGGCCTCTGGCATGACTTGAAGTGGGCCAACCTCGGCAGTGAGCTCCCAGTTAGTCTTCGGCCCCCCCGCGAAGCCAGTAGGTATCATTTCGGCGCCCTTTATCTTCTCTCGTTTCTCTGCCGTTAATTTCTGCTTGCCTTCGATGACGATTTTCCCCATTTCAAGTTCAACGCCAATTCCTGGCGCATTGCCTGTACGCCGAGAAAGTCCATTGCCGAATAGCTGTTGCGGTAAGGCAGACGCTAGATCAAGGAAGATTGTGAGTGCAAAGAGCACCCAAAGGGTAGCGGTGGCTCCGAAGAGTTTCTGGCCTCGTATGTTAGAGAGCATCTCTATTGCTAGAGAGTAGGAGTATATAACAGAAGATTGGCTGAATAACTCGATAAAGTAAAGCAAGAAAGGTAGAGTTGTAGGCGTAATAAAAAAGTATAGTTATGAGAAGTTAAGAGAGGAGGCCATTAGAGGGCTATCTGAGGAGAATATCACAGTGCAAGTAGCACCGTTGCTTTACTCTCGCCGCTTACATAGAACTCTTGGTAAAGGTGAGATTTTGGGATTGACTACAAAGACAAAAGTGTAATCCTGCGAGGATGAAGGGCTTGTTTCTATGGGGAATCGAGGCAAGATAGAGGGAGCAATCGTATAAGTTTGTGGAAGGAGGAACATCTTATAATATTCCAGCTGTTTACTTGACAGCAGTGAAGACATTGCAGGGCCCTATTCTTGGACAGGATTGTCATTTCAAGACGGATCCAACTCTGGATGTGGCGGTACCAAGCCGCTAATCCATCCAGATGTATGGCACAGGATTTTATAGGGCGTCTCATTCTGCTTGGATCTTGTAAGTTGCTTAGCCCCGATAGGCTCAGCCTCATGAATCCATGTTGGTAACTGGACAGTTGAACGGCATAACTCGGCTTCTTAATCGGGTAACGTGTCCCGAACTCTCAAGTGGGCTGTCGCGCCTTAGGCCGCCAGGCCCAGACGACAACACCGTTGTATAAGATCATGTGATAACAGGGGCCGAGCGACAATCTACTGTCACTATTGCTTCTACTGCCACCGCTCCTAATATCATAACCACTCCTACCATCATCCTAACTCCTCTCAGCTCCTTCAAACCCTCGCTATGTCTCTGTCTTCTATACCAACACACAGGCCTTAGAGGGCATCGTCAGCTTGTAACCCTGCTCGCTAGTCGCTCACCATCATTTCTTTACCACGCGGTGATCAAGATGTCGGCTTCCCTCTTCTCGACCCTCCCGCCCGAAATCATTTGTCGGGTCTTCGAGTTTGCGGACGACTTCTCCGTGGTGGCCGCTCTTGCTCAAACGGCACGTATCTTCTACCACACCTGGCGAGAGAATCCGATTTCCATCTGCCAAGCCGTCGCCCCTCGTGTCTTCTCGAACCTCACCGACGCCGAGCGATTGCTTGACGTGCAGGAGGAAGCTGAAGCTGTGAACCAGTCGCAAGACAGCTGCAAGCAGAAGTCCATCATTCGAGCCAAGCGTCTCCTGTTCAACGCTCGCTGTGCCTCTGCTGCCGCTGAGAGCTGGGTGAGTCTCTGTCAGATCCACGAATGCTTTGACAGAGGAGAAGATCCGCACATGAGGCCATCTGAACTTGCACGTTTTGAACGTGCTTTCTATCGTGTCTGGACCATTGGGGTCATGGGAAGCGCTCCGCACCTACAGGACCAAGCATCGGCTTTTCTCGATCAGTGCAGTCCACGAGAGCTGTGCAGACTCGACGAACTGGGAACGTGGGCTACGTATTTTAACGAGAACGATTTCGGATCTTTGGGTCTTGACCTCCATGATGAAGTTTGGAAGACTGGTTGCGATCTAGTCTCGAAACGCTGGATGGCTTACCAGGAAGGGAGGCACGGGATAGCAGCCCCCGATTACACTCCTCTGAATTTCTTTGCCTTCTTTGACAATACTCAAAGATATCTCGACTTGATTCAAGACGAGTAAAGAAAGGGACTTTCGAATCCTTTGTTTACAGAGGTAGATAATACTTTCAACACTGGTTAGTATGATATTTCGATACGAGTCTCTCCCCACATTCCACAAGATCAAGCGAGCATCAACTCAAAATTTTACACCGGACATCATCATCACACCGCACTCCCCGAAATGGCCAAGGAATACATCCTCACTCTCTCACGCCCCGACTGGTCGGGCATGTCCACGCCGTCACTGGCTTCCTGGTGCAACATGATTTCAACATCGACTCACAGCAATTCGGCGACCCTTCCAAGAAATTTTTCATGCGCGTGCATTTCGCGGGCACTGATGTCACCGATCTGAAAGCTGCCTTCCAAGAGACGGCCGACGCAATGAACATGGAGTTCGATCTCCGAACCGTCGCGAAAGACTCGAGTTCTCATCATGGTCTCGAAGGTTGGACACTGCCTCAACGATCTTCTGTTCCGTCAACCCCAGCTAGGAATGGACATCCCTCTCATTATTTTCAATCATCCGGACTTCGCACCCCTCGCTGCGACATACAGCATCCCATTCCACCACCTCCCTGTGACGGCAGCAACCAAGGCCGAGCAAGATTGTGGACCTCGTCAAAGAGCACAAGATCGATCTCATTGTATTAGCTCGATACATGCAAGTCCTCTCACCGGCTCTGTATACTGCAATGTCTGGCAAGATCTGCTGTAGCGTTCCTGAAAGCACGTTCAGAACCTGGACCTCAATCTCTGTTTGCTAGCAAGAAGAATATTATTCTGTCTAGAAGCAAATTGTCGCCTCAAATGCGGCGGCACGGGCTGTGGTCGCTGGATTGTCGACACGATGCGATTCTGAACAGGCATATTTTGCAGGGTTGGGAGAGTGGAGCCATATCCTAGAACGAGGATCTTGAGCCGGTTTCCGCTGCTTTCAGCTTCGTCAACAAGCCTCTGGAAGAGGCCAAAGAAGTCTTCGGTCCATTTAGGCACGCTCTGATGGGCCTGGAAGATATCCTCTGCCTCCACAACGATGTAACATTTTGAAAGTCTTGAAAGGATTTGAAAGAGGAGAGAAATCCATTCTGCTTCCGTGTGATTTGACTGAAATTTGGTAACGTTGAGTTCCTCAGGGTAGCTACTCAGTAGCGTATGATCGTGTTGCAAGGCCTGGAATATGAGAGTCTTGATAAGACTCGTCATCGATGGAACGATACCAGGAGACCTGATCCACGAGAGGTTCCAGATGACACCACATCGCATTGACTGCAATAACTTCACTACATCCACGGCAAACTCCTTTGCGTTTGCTTCTGCGCGCGCGCCGACCTTAACAAGGAACAAGGCAGATCTTTCCCGTGAGACCCAGTTCCCGAGGCTTTTCACCAGTTCGACCGAGTCTCGAGAGGGTAGGTTTGGAATCTGAACTCGTTTTGCAAGCGACCGGGCCTTTTCAAGCGTCTCTTCTGGGCACGGGACAGGGTTCAGGACTTGAAGAATCCTGGAAAATTGTATATCGTGTATGGCCGGATTTACTTTCAGCACTTCGACGTGAATACTCTCAGTGATAGCTTTGTTTCCTAGATATTGTCAGCAAGGGACAAAAGGATTGGCATTGAATACTGACTGGTAGCCACCTCCAATATCGTACTCGTTGAGATATCGAGCTTTTCTTGGATATGGTTAAGCTGCACCTGCATCTCGAGGAGCTTGGAATCCCTTTGCCGCAACTGCTGGTCAAGACTTTGAATGGTGATATGAACATCCCGCAGCTCAGCGCGATTGGCCATGCCAGCAATGTCATTGACCATCTGAGCACAGAGTTTAACCTCATCAACCGTGTCTTGGTAGTGTAGTTCAAATGGCCGGAATATGGAGGAGACCGCCTTTCTAGCTGGACTCATGTTGTACCACTTCATTGCTTGCTGAAGAAACAGAAGTATGTGCGCATAAAGTCGCGAAATGGCATTCTTCATCGTGGGCGTTGGGTAGAGCTCAGCACTGAGCTTGACCTGCGGTAGGACATCTCCTATTTTGGCTATCGCTTTTGCAAGTTCGGTTACGAGTTTTGCGTGGTTGAGGATACCCTGGCACTTGGCGTTAGGGAAGCAGCGTTGACAGATTGGTGTTGTTGCGAAGCGCACGGCTATTCAACTTTGAATATCCGGATGCTAGTGTTCAATAAGCTGTGCAACAAATGGCAGCGAAAGCCATATTGTCATTAGACATAAATTTCCACGTACCATCAAAATGAATTTCAGAGTTCCCCATGCGAGAGAGACGTATTCTGGATGGTGTTGCGCTAACATGTCCAGGACTTGACCATAATACATGATCCTGCTCGAGAAAATTCGGAGCCATTTCCGCACCCTCCCATACTTTGTAGATGCATCATATCGTTCCCGAAGTGAGTCGACAACAGCCCTGATCTCGTTGATCGTCGTCTTGCTGTTGAGAAGTTCGCCAAGCTCGGGAGAGCCTCGAAGCTCTGTCTTGAGATACTCGCATGCGCTGAGGTACGCTTCGTGGGCTATATCTTGCGGACTGAGACAACAGTGTCAGCAAGCACTATCTTACGAAGGGCAAGGTTGGTTCTCGGTGCCGTTTCGCGTCACATTGGCTCATCTTACCTCGAGGGATCATGGCGAGGCTGGTACCACGATGTGATACTACTCGTATCCTGCGATGTATGCGCCAGTCTACGGGGGTTGGTCAAACCCGACATCACTTGAATATAATTCTGGAAAAAATGGAACCGATTCGATGTTGATGTCCTGAATTATCCTGGGTTAAATGGGTTTCCGAGCTCAAGGCTGAAGGCTGTCAAGAAAAGTGCTCAACGATTGTCGTTGTCGCTAAGGTATGCAGCGCATAGCCACACTCGTACAACATGTGAGCTTTTCACAACAATCAACCTCTTTCTCATCAAAATCCATCGCTCCTTGATCAACCAGCGCATCCGGGGACATTCTTCTCGTCATACCATATCCTCCAGGGGTAGGTAATTCTTTTCAACAATCACCTCAAAGTGTGCACTCTCGCTGACCTCTCAAAGAAACAGGCAATCCACGACAAAACCAGCGAGACGAGAACCAGAACTGGGTTTGCTGGATTTTGATTGGGGATAAGATACAGAAGTATGGATACCAGTATCCCACTTCGCAACCATACTCCGGCTTCCTTGCGCCAGAAAAGAGCAAGCCGGGCATCGATAGCTAAATCAGAGGGCGTAAACGATGACAACTTCAGAATAAGGAAGGGCAGAGCGAAATCGAAGGCAAAGGAAACGGCAGAAAAGCTTTTCCAACGCAAGTCTCGAGAGTCTATCCTCGGGAGTCAAGAGTTGAGCCACGAAGAAATGCAAAATACACGAAACTTGCGAGTACAAGGACTCCGGCCATCCGCTTCCGAAGCTGCAAGAGAGCAACTAGGAGATGAAGAACATAGTGCGGAATACCAACAACAATCAGGCATGTTGATACAGCGAAATCACCAAAGGCAGCAACAACAGCAACAGCAGCAGCAAGAGTCTATCCTCGGGGGTCAAGAGCGGAGCCACGAAGAAATGCAAGATACACGAAATTTGCGAGTAGATGAATTCTTCTGGCGGCGAATCGAAAAGGCAAGAGATGAACGACGTGCACAGGAATTCCGCCACATTAAAAAATCCGTTCTCCAATCCCTTGAGCAGGAGACGGGACCTCTGAGCGGCTGGCAAGCTGGAGTGCAGATACAGGAGCGGACTTTAATAGCCCAAATGTGAGTCGCGTGGAGTGTGCGAGTGTGCGAGTGGTTGGTTATTCTATAGTGTAGGGACTGACGTAATTCTTATCAGAATTGAAAATCTCCGACATGCGCCGAACCCTCCGGACTTGAATAAAAGGATTCAGATCGGTATCAGATTCGAGAAAGAAACATTCCACAAGTCGCCGAACAAAGTACGCCACTAGAAATATTATATAGTGAGATGCGTCTCTAACAAGAGTAGGACCAATACAGACATGAAATGCAGCTGAAGTTGGACCAACTTAGGGTAAGACGGATCAAAGGTCAAGCCAATATGGTGCTGCCTTACCATCAGCAGTTACAACAACAAGCCCAGGCTCACCTATTCATATCAAAATTTTCTCGGCCTGTTGAAGAGCCGAAATGCAAACTATTCATGACTTATACCATATCTCAAGATTTTACTACAGCAGATGATTTGCGGTCAAAGGATCGCCTATGTGCAATTAGGACTCGGGAACTGGAGATTATGTTGCGATAGAAAAGTTTGACCTGAAGAGGCATTGAAGATAAAGACCGATACCCATGTACTAATTCATAGTCAATTGTGGCATAGGTACTGTAATAGGGTGGGAGTCCTTGCTTATTAGTGGGTTGTATTTCTAAGAATAAAAGTGCCACTACTGTAGGGGATATATAGCTAAGCGAACCCTATCAAATAGTAGTAATATCATGTGACCATTTCCTATCGCTATAAGGTACCCCTAGACTTATAGTAAGTACTAGCGATTAATAAAAGAAGAGTAAACTATTCTAGTAACCTGTATACATTTCTATAATAGCACTTTACTAGCTAATTCTAGTACTTATAATCTCTTATCTGTCTACTATAGTAGTTACTTATCTAAACTTAGAAGCTAAAGGGGTTAGTAAGATCTAAGTATCGCGTCCCTAGTCTACTAGTAAACTTTATAGTAGTTAGGTTAATATTAAGTACTACTATCCTTATATTATAGGTCTAGTTAGTATTAATAAAGAACCTTGTTATACCTACTTAATTAGTCCTAGGTATATATACTTTTAGATTATCTAAATAGTATTTCTTAACTTAACTATTACTATATATGTTTGTTACTTTTATAGATATATTAGATATTATTCTAGTTAGAAGCCTAGAGCCTATCTATTATATCTCTAATTTACGTCCCTTCTCTTTGTCTAGCTAATAATTACGTATAAAGACTAGATCTCCTTATAATAGTTTAAGGAACCTAAGACTCTTTATATTCTTTAACTTTAAGTAAGTATATACGATTAATACTACTACTTAGTCTCTTAGCTCTTTACGTTTCTCTTAAAGGAATAACTAATACTCTCTTAGAACTACTAATAACACGATAATATCTAATTAGTAATCCTAGTTAACTTACTAAGGTTATTAACAATTAGCTTAGTTAGTCGTATTTTTAGCCTTATGCCTACTATTATTAAGAGCTACTAGTTAATTAATTTCTAGTATCTAGAGCTATATTAAGATATATCTAAGTATTATTTTAGCTAGAGAAAAGGAATACGTCTTAACTAGCCTAGTATTAATTACTAGAGAGATTTCCTCTAAGGTAAAGGGCTATATTAGTACTAACTAAGGCCCTTTCTTAATAACCTATTTCTTAAGCTATACTAAAACTAACTAAACGTATCGCTTAATTAAGCTAACTAACTATAGATAAGTAATAGGTATATAGTCTATAAATAATCTATAAAATTTAAATAAAGTATAAGTCTTAACTATAGTAAAATAACTTCTATTATCTAAGTATACTCTTTTTAGCTACCTAAATATTAGTACTAAATAGTTAACCTAGAAATTAATTACTATAACTAAGTCTACTATTATATAAGCCTTAATAAATACTATTTTAGTAAAGTAATACATGACTAGTAGTATATATTTCTTACTATTCTCTTTTACTAGGTTAATAAGTCTAAGAAAATCTATACTTACTATTAACTAAGGCTTAAAATAGATAATTAGTTTAATGTTATAGCTCTTATAACGTAGTCTTATTCTTTAATATACCTTATAAGTAGCTAACTAGTTTTTAATATCTTAGGTATACGTTAGCTAAAAGAATTAGCCTTATAGATTATATAGAGTTAAAGTACTTATATAGTAACTATAAGTATTATACGCCTATTTTATTACCTTACTTATTTTGTCTTTTAGAATACATTTTACTAGGTAATAGGTTACCTACTCCTTATATATAAGATAAGATCCCTAGATATAGTAACTAATCGCCCTTCTCTTTACTTACTTTCTTTATAACCTTAATATATATATAATTCTTACGTCCCTTACTAAAAGATACTCTAATATAAGACTATATACCTTATAATTCTTTAGTAGCCTATACTAGTTATATTCTAACCTCTTAGATATTAGTATAGTTATTAGTACTATAAATACTATATATTCTATATTATACTAGACTAGTTTATCTTAAAGTACTTTAGGTAATCTAGACAGCTTATCTATAATTTATACTAAATTTAATTTTCTAGGCTTATAGTAAACTTTAATGTTATATTTAGTTAGTTAATCTATTTATTGTACTATTTTCTTATATAAGTCTAGACTATTCTATAAGGTTAATATTAATACTATATAGTCTATATAAACCTTAGTTAGATAAGGACTTCTTATAATAACTTATCTAACCTCTACTAAGTTTCTTACGACTACTAAGGCTTCTTACTTAGTAGTTATATACCTAGTCTTAACGTCTAAAAGTTTAAAAGATATAAACATAAGGATATATATCTAGTCTTTAATAGTTCTAGTTACTTCTGTCTTTACTAGGGCATCTACTAGCTAAAACAAGATCCTTCTTAATCCTCTCTTACTTATATCTTTATACAAGTAGTACTACTTTATAAGATTAGAGCCTACTATAGTATTATTAATAATATAATCTTTAATATACTAGAAAGATTAGTCTTGTACTTTACCTTATTAAAACAGTTTTTCTACTTATTCTTTTCTTAATAATTCCTTTCTAGTCTTTAAGGGTATAGTAACCTAATACTAGTATAATTCCTTAAGAATAAAAACATAGTTAGCTTGTCTTAGTATAAAAATACGTAGAAATAGTATAATCTATATAAAATCGTCTATCTCTTATTAATAAGTTAAAGTAGGCTATAGTACTATATAGTTCTTATACCTTAATAATAGTCGTAATCTTATTAAGCTAGCTAAGAATCTAATTATATTAATAGAACTAAAGAAGAAATACGACTTTAAAAGTAAGAGGAAAAGAAGACTAAATACTACTTATAAGAAGTATTAATTATATAAGAACTAGAACATCTCTTTAAAGCTAGTTATAGTACTAATATAGTTATCTATAAATAGAGTAAACCTTATATTACTATAGTCTCTAATTAATATAGGTATTATAAGATAAGTGTTAGTCTTAAAGAGTAGTCTAAAAACTAAATCTATAAACTAACTATAAGTATAAAGCGTACTCTTTAATCCTTAGCCTATTTACCTAAACAGATATTAGCTATTTAGTACTATTATTACTACCTTATATTTATTACCTAGTCTTATTAGTACTACTTAATAACTATTTATTATATCTAATAAGAAAAACACTATAAACTTAGGCTTAACTAGAGTATCTAAGACTTCTTTAATACTATACATAAGGTAGACTAGTTTAATAGTTAAAGTATTAACTAGTATAAAGTTATAGACTACTTAGAATTAGTTAGATCTCTTTTTCTTTAGTAAGAATAAAGTTTTTATCTCTTATAGACTTAATCTCTTTACTAAAATACTAGCTTCTTTTATTTTAGGGAATACCTTTACTACAAATTCTCTTTCTTACTAAGTATATTACTTAGGTTTGTCGACTATTAGTATTACGCCTAAGATAAGGTTAATAGTATGTTTAATTAAGTTAGTAGCTTTTATATTCTATATCTATATTATAAAGTAATTCTTTTATATATATAGTAATCTCTTAGTCTTTACTATTTTGTCCTTTATATTTATAACATTACTAATATTAATTCTAATCCTATTAAACTATTTGTTAATATACTATTATAAGGCGTCTAACATTAGTCTAGGTATAAGTCTTTTATTAACTAAAAAGCCGGATACTACTTCTTATAAGATAGGTCGATTTACTAAGGTTAAGTAGCTATATAAAGGTAGTTATAATAAAAATAGTATGTTTAGATCTTAATTCTCTAGAGCTTGTCTAATAGATAATATTATTATTATTATTATTCTTACTCTTTATACCTACTATATACAGAACCTCTATACTACATTAATTACGTAGTAAAACCGTACTAAAGCTAGGTAAAAACCTATATACTACTACTTACGTTTATACTATTATAGTACTACTAAGGCACTAGGTCCTTATTACTACTCTACTAAAACTTAACCTTCTAGCCTAGTAATACTAACTATACTAACAAGACACTAGTAAGGCGCTAGTAAGGCGCTAGCTACTAGCTAGGGCTACTCCTTCTCTTATAACTCTTTTACTAGGTAATACTTAGCTAGATAAAACTATAAGAATTAGCTAGTAGATAGTAGCTAACAGATTAGTATACGTACGCTCTTACCTCTCTTTATTGTTACTATAAAGTCGTAGAATGTCTATAGTACTCTTAGGTAGAGCGCTTACTATAAGGCCTACTACTATTAATCTAACTACTAGTAGTTAAGGACTAGGTAAGCTACTATCTCTAGAGCCTTACTATAAGGGTACTAGAGGGTTACTACCTCTAGTACTCTACGCTTAAAAAGAAAAGCCTAAAGTCTAACTTTACTAGTATAGATCTATATTAAAAGAGAGCTCTTATACTTATAAAGGAGTAAGTACTTCTTAAGGGCATCTGTTAAGAGGGCAGGTAGCGCGGCCGGGGTAGTGCCCTAGTGGTATACTAGTAAGCTATTGTGTTAAGACTACTGTACCTTCTAGTTCTCTTATAAGGTCTCCTCTAGAGAGGAGTCCCTGTACTAGTCCTTTGCCTACACGGCTCGGCCTGCCCTATATTCAAGTAACGTATAAGGTAGCGCTACAGTAGTGCCGTGGTCTAATAGATAATAATATATACATAATAATATTAATATAGTTAGGATTTAAATAAACAGATATAAGGTTAATATAAGTAGACATGTCGCTATACTAGTAAAGAGTCTACTCTCTTACTAATACATACCTTTTCCTGCCTAATATACTACTTAGTTAAACGTCTTAACTTCTTATAGTAGCTAATTTATATCTTTCTTAGTATCTTTATTAAAGCTAGTATTATTATTGTTATTAGTATCGTTAGAGTCCTTAACTAGAGTAGTATTACTTGTCGCCTTTAATTTCTACTAATTAATAGTAATATAAGGAGTTAAGGCTATTAATACTAGTACATCTATAATTAGGCTACTTTATCCTTATATATATAGAGTTCTCTTCTTATAATCTTTAATAGCTCTAACTAGAGCTATCTAGT